TTTTGGGCCAACAGTATCAGCTCAACCTCCAAGGTAACTGGAGACTCAAGTCAGCCACGTTGGGTGGTCAGCCAGGTCTATGAGACTGAGGCCAAATAAAAACTCTGGATGCCAAGAATTGGTTGAGATTCCCTGGATGACAATACTCTGCATATACTGTCACATACGGTTACCAGGAAAGTTAGTGCCATCTGTGACTCTACTGGGAGAAGACAACTGGAAGCTCTCAGCAAGGAAATTTCCCAGACTCTGCCCCATCCATCTCTTCCCTTGGCTGAATTTAATCTGGATCTTTCACTGTATTAAACCATAACTGTAACTATATCAGCTTTCAATAAGGTCTATGAGGTTTTTCTAGCAAATTACAGAAACTGAGGGTGGTCTTGGGGACCCCCCAAATTTGTAATTGTCAGAAGTGAGGGTGGCTTAGGGACCCTGAATTCTGTAGTTGGTGTTCGAGTGAGGGTGGTCTCAGATTGTTTTCAAACTTCGCAGTATAATATGGTTGTCATTTCACTCTACACAGTCCTTATCACCACCATAATTTTGCATTTCACTGATTAAAACCAATCTCTTCAACTAAACTCTAAGCACCTTGTGGGAAGGGATTACGACTGTTCATCATTCTTCAAGCACCTAGCAGAGTATCTGGCACATTGTAGGCGATCGTCCTTTCCTGGAAGGGTGAATAGATAGACAAACCCAGTACAGTCTTAGCAAGTAAACCAGTGAAAAATGATAACAAGACAATGATGTTTTGCAGAGAAGTATTACCAAAATGTCATTTCTTACACACAAATTATAATTACCAGATTCTTTTCTCAATATTTTATTAATCAGTGATCCATGTACATGCACTTCTACAATTAGAGTGTATGACCAGCTTAAGACAGTTTTACTATTACCTCTCTAAATTGATGCAATCCCATCCATAAAGACCAAAAATACATACTTAGTTAATATTTATGAACTTATCATAAATAAATTTTAATTACAATTTCTGAAAATAGGAGACTCCTGGATAAAATTATTAGTTCTTGAAGCCTAGAGTTAAGGATTATATATTTACGTAATACAAATTTTCTGGCATAGGCTCACAGGAGGCAAACACTAAAGAGACTAGAAGATATTATTGGGGAATTACTGATCTGTCAGTTCAATAAGCACTGTTGAGATAATACAGTACAAAAAACACCCAGTATTATTGGAAAATCACTAATCCTAGACATTAATAAACATGGCAGGAATACTATAATACAAATAAAACATTAAATTATAGTTAAGACAGAAATACAGACTAAAAAAATACCACAAATTCACACCCTAGAAAAATATCACAAATTCAAACCCTAGTACCACTTTTCTTTAGAGTACTTTCTTTTACCTTAAAAATACTTAGACCTCTATAAATCATTAATGCCGTAGTGTTAGTGAATACTAGTGTTAACTGTAATATTCTTAGAGATGAAGAGCTCAGTCTACATTTATTGGATATCTACTATGTGCCAAGGACTGTACATAGAAACAAAACCCCAGACTCCCAGGTTCACAACTTAGTGTGGAAGAAATTAAATGCACACATACACACAGAAAAAATCCGGAAGAATATAAATCATTTTCAGGAGTTATCTCTGAAGCAGGGATTATAAGGGACTTTTATTTCCTACATCATATAGTTACAATGCTTAAATTTTGTAAATTGAATATATATATTCATATAACTTAAAATATAAAACCTTTCTTTAAAAGGGGAAAAAACACCTGAAGGGCTTTTAAAATTACCTGTCTCCTACTTTTTCTCTACTATCAAGATCTTGAAAATCACAAACTGTGGGTTTGAAATTATAATTATTGTTGTACAATAATACATCAGTACAAGTAATATAATATATAAATTATATATAAATATATAAATTATTTGTGTTAGCAAAATAACTAGAAACTCAAAATGTTGATCATTAAGAGAGTAGTTAAATAAATTATAGGACATTTACACCAAGAATACTTTTAAAAGAGGCAATGTTGTCATGTGGTCAAGAGCATAAACTTCAGAGCTACAGTGCCTGAGCCTGTAGCCCAGCACTGCCAACAACTAGCTGCATAACCTGGGCAAGTCTCACAAGCTCTCTGGGATTCAGTTTCCACATCTGTGAAATAATAAGGAATCTATAAAACCACATAGCGTTGCTGTATCAGCTACTATAAATAAATTAATACATAAAAAATAATACATATGGAAGTACCTAATAAGCCTTCAGAAAATGTTAGCTAATACTATTATGTGCATGGAAATGGAACAGAGTCAAACTTTTATCATTAAGTGAAAAAAGATGCAAAATATTTTGCATAACAACCCAGTTTTAGTAAGAAAATTATAATGAGAATGTGTTAGCATATAAAAAGACAATGTGGGAGGTAATATGACATGTGGAATCACAAACCTGGGTTTTAGACCTGTGTTTAAATTCTGTGTGACCTCTGTAAAATAAGTTAATTTTTCCAGGTCTCAATTTCTTCATCTGTGACATTAGGATCATAACCTTACAGAGCTGTTGCAGGATTAAATATTTCTAAAGCACAATATCTGATACAAAATAAGAATGGTAAATGTTGGCTACTGTTGGTATTGTTTTCATTATTGTTGAAATTAAGAAGAGACATGCCTGTCTTATTCACCATTATACCCCTAGTACCTAAAACAATGCCTAGCACAAAGTGGATGCTCAATAATTACTTGTTAATTAAATGAATGAATCAAACCATTCAAAGTGGTTAGTAGAGATGGGTGTGGGATTACAAAGATACTTTTATCACTATTTCTGTACTTTAAGTTCTGCTATCAGAAAAAAATACACAATAAATGTTCTCTAAACCCTTAAAGTGAAAAGAAGAAGTGCTAATTTCTCTAAAAAAACACTCAATTTTAAAAAGTTGGGGGAAAATGGAAAGAAGTAGTAAGAGAAAAAGGAAAACAAGTTACTAAGTTGAATAGCAAAGGCTTGATCCAAAGGGCAGTAATGAGAATTAGCAGTTTTATTTTCAACCTTTCTTTTTTTTTTTTTTTTAAAGATTTTATTTATTTATTTGACAGAGAGACACAGCGAGAGAGGGAACACAAGCAGGGGGAGTGGGAGAGGGAGAAGCAGGCTTCCCTCGGAGCAGGGAGCCCGATGCGGGGCTCAATCCCAGGACCCCGGGATCATGACCTGAGCCGAAGGCAGATGCTTAACAACTAAACCACCCAGGCGCCCCTATTTTCAACCTTTCTAAAGGTTAAATAGATTATCCTAAGCAATTTTTTGAGTCTCAGAAATAAGTGCAATTTTCAAACAAATGCCATCATATTTAGCTTAGATTTTAAACATTAATCAAACCTCTTTTATCATTCTCTTTTTCAGCTTTTCCAAACAACAGACCAAATGTATGGAGGCATCTAATAATATTCAACACTTCACTGTATATACTAGAATAGCAGTTCTTAAGTGTGGTCCATGGACCCCTGGGAATTCCTAAGACGCTTCTCAAGGGGTTCATGAGCTCAAAAATTGTTTCCTTAATAATTCAAAGACAGTTTTGCCTTCTTCCCTGCTTTCACATTTGCACTGATAGTATAATAGCAATGGTAGATAATACTGCTGGTATTTTAGCACCAATCTGGGCAGTGGCATTAAACTGATTGACACAGATAGTTTAAAAAAAAAAAAAAAGCCAGGTTTACTGAAGACTGTCTTTAATGAAGCAGTAAAAGTTATTTTTATTAAAATCTGACTTTGAAGTACAAGTCTTTAATATTCTATCAAATGAAATAGGTAGCACAAATAAAGAACTGCTGCTGCAGAACAAAATATGCTAGTCATTTCAAGGAAAGGCAGTAGGACGATTGAGTTGTGAGCTAGGTTGGCTGCTTTAATCTTGGAACATCTTTTTCACTTGAAAACACAAATGGCAGACAAATACAGTTGTCCAAACAGGGTATGTGGCAGATATTTTTCTTTGAATTGAGTGAAATGAAACTGTTACTTCAAAGAAAATACCTGACAGTATTTGTTTTTTTGATAAAATTTGAACTTTCAAGTGAAAATCAGAATTTGGTAAGACTAAGATCCTCCACTGTTAGTTTAAAAGTGTCATGATACTTAACCCACTGTGAGTTTAAAAGTTTCATGATACTTAATGACTTTTCTGATGATACACATGTGACTTGTTGATAATGTATGTAATCAAATGTGTCAACATTTAGAAGACCTGTATAAGTCAGTGAACTTTCAAAATGACCAATGCACCATATTATCAAACGCTGCATGAGTAAAAGATCCATTTGCAGAACAACCTAAACCAAAGAATTTTAATACAATAAAGAATAAAGTTCTTTGATATGGTTTCAGATTTCACACTGCAACTAATCTTTATGAAAGCAACATTTTTGGAGTTTTGATATCAAAGAATATCCATAATTCTCTGATATAAAAAGATATTAAAATACTCCTCCCTTTCCAACTACACATATGTGTGAAACTGAATTTTCTTCATATACTTCAACCAAAAAAAAAACAAAACAAAAATACTGCAACAGACTGAATAAAGAAGCAGATAGGAGAATCCAGCTGTGTGCTATAAAGCCAGATATTAGATCTGCAAAAATGTAAAACAATGTAAAACATAAATGTAAAGTTTCTTGCTATTTTTTTGTCTTGGTAAGTGTGATTGTATTTCACTAAAAAATGTGTTATTTATGTTAACATGTAATGCATTTATTGTTTTTTAAAATCAATTAATATTCTCAAAATGTCTCAATCTTAATGTCTAATATAATAAATATTGATAAATATAATCCATATAAACAGAGAAGCTCTTTGGAGATCTCAATAATTTTTGAGAATGTAAAGGGGTCCTAAGACAAAAAAGCTTGTGGACTGCTACACCAAAAACACAAAAGTGAAATAGAGTTCTGTTTATAGAAAGGATTGCTCTCAAGACTTCAGAGTATCCAAGGACCATACCTGCTTGGCAAAAAATATTGTGTCAAGTCTGGAGTCCTGAACTACAGAGCCTGCTGGTTCTTCTCCTGGCTGCCACTTGAAAAGAAAAATTAACCCATGAACTGGCCTACAAAATAAAATACAAATTAGTGACACCAAATCCTGCTTCTTTGTGAACACGCTGTCAATACATTACATTTTAGCAGCTACTTAACAAATACATTGCAAACAAAGTAAGTTTGAGAAAACTTTTTAAGATTTCTATTGCTATTCACGGTCACTAGAATGTTGCCTCTGACATGGCTAATAAACCTTAAAATTACATTAGATAAAATAATTATAATGAAAGGTTTATTGTCAAATCTGGATTATTCACTTCCGCCTTGTATCACTTCACTTAAAAACTAAAAATAAGAACATAGCATAACTAAAAGAAGCTGTTAACCCTAGACTGAATTCTAATCTATATGAATAAAGTCCATGTAGGATGTTTATAGATAAATGGCTTATAGCATATATATTACAAAATATATTAAGTCACCTTTATATAATTGTTGGATTCATGAAAAATTGTCAAACTGCAGTATGAATGAATGCTATCATCTTATACATAATTAAGTCATCCACTTTCCTAAAGGAACTCTTGTTGCCCATGAAACATTAAATCACCACTTTAGGATTCTCTCCAGTCTTTTATAACTGTCTTCCATGCAACAAAACCCTTTCCTATGCTTTGAAGACAGTTCAAATGATGCATTTTTAATTAACCTTTCCTGATTACTCAGCCAGAGTTAATCCCTTATTTCATCTCAAGTCATTGCTCTTTCTGTGGGGAAGGGGAAAGTTGGGGGAAGCAAATGATCTCTTTACTATTAAAAACAGTAGCTATATCCCTAGAGTCCCCATTTCCCCTTTAGAAGCCTACTCCTTGTCACATTCCAAGAAACCAAGAATTCTCCCTCCAATGAAAATTCCTCTAGCCCTCTATTTACAATACAGGGTCAATGCTTGGGGGCATGGAGATTGAGGGTAAGGGGAGTCTCAGAGAGGTGATTCTAGTCAGAAGGATGGGGGAAAAGGAAGATACTTCCTGGCATCTAAATTTGGAATTTGAACTGTAACCTCCCCAAGAAGCAATGTGATAATATATAGACAAGTTCTGAATTACTATTCATATATGTTATCTACTAAATATGTTTTTGTAGACTAACCTATTACTCACGTTTTTAATGTTAAAATGTGTTCTACGATCTAACCCTATTGATCTATAAGTGAATATTGTAAAAAAATCAATCAACCAATTCTGACATGAAATTACAGAGACTTAGTTTTTAATCCTTTAAAAGTTACTTATATCTGAGTCTCAGGTCTGGGTTATAAAACAGAGTAATAATACCTATCTCATAAGATCAAAGAAAGACTTAAAGGAGATGATGTAATCAGCCCATAGCAATCCAAGTAAAATAAACAGACAACAGTCTGCTTAAAGTACATACATATTATTTTTAACACAACTAAGATCATACTTACTTTAATTTTTCAAAATTCTCAGGCTCTAAACTCCATATTTCTTCTACTTGGGCTCCTCGGCAACCTGAAATAAGAAATTATTTCTTTAGAAAACGAAATAACTCATTTTTTTCCTTCACCATTAAATAAAATACTAACTGAAAGAAATGCACATTTAGGGACAATGAGACAAGACAAATTAAAATGGTAAAACTGATAAAGCTCACAGTCAATCCTTTTACTTCCTTTACTAATTCCTAATTATTTATAATGGGAGTATATTACTTTCATAATTTAAAGAATTTTCAAGAGTTTATTCTCACTGAAACACCACCCCAGACTTCTCAGTCTCTCTCAATCTCTCTGTCTCTTCTGCATTTGCTCTTTTCACTCAACTACCGTTTGCCTAGCTCTGCCCTTGACCCTCTTCTTCTTTAACTATACACTTTTTTTTTAAGTGGTAATAAATAACTACCATTTAACAGTAACTTTCATATCACATGTTTAGTTCTGACCCTTTTCCTAAATTCCAATTCTATATTGTCTTTAATATAATTTTATTTTCAACTACCTCAGAGTCCCCCAAACATACCCTTCCTTAGGACAGTGTTTCTCAATCAGGTGATGTTTTTTGCCCCCACCCCGCTGCCTGGGAAATATTTTACAATGTCTGGAGACATTTATATTGTCACTACTGTCACCAGTGGGAAGGCCTTGGCATCTAATGGACAGAGGCCAGAGATGCTAAACATCCTACACTGCATAGGACAGCCACCAACAGCAAAGAATTATCTGGCCCAAATTGTCAACATTGCCAAGGTTGAGAAACCCTGTCCTAGTAGATGTATCATAGTAAAAGTGTACTGGTTAAGATGTTGGCTTCAAAAATGCCAGGGTTTGGGCGCCTGGGTGGCTCAGTTGGTTAAGCGACTGCCTTCGGCTCAGGTCATGATCCTGGAGTCCCGGGATCGAGTCCCGCATCGGGCTCCCTGCTCGGCAGGGAGTCTGCTTCTCCCTCTCCCACTCCCCGTTTGTGTTCCCTCTCTCGCTGTGTCTTTCTCTGTCAAATAAATAAAATCTTTAAAAAAAAAAAAATGCCAGGGTTTGAATCCCGGCTCCTCCATTTACTAGCTGTATGACTATTTAACCTCTCTGTTCCCCATACTCATGGAGTTGTTATGAGGAATCAATGAGATAATTTAGTATGCATGAGATACATTTAATACAGTGCCTGGCACCCTATAAGGGTTTACTAACTGTTAATTAATATTATCACAATACAAAAACCAGCCATATTTACCAAGCCTTTTATCTGTAAAGTGCTTTAAATGCATTTCCCTAATCACTGCAAGGCAAGTATTATACAAAAGTAGTTTAGGGATGTTAAGTGGCTTGCCTAAATTCACTACAGCCAGTATATGCCAAAAAATTAATTAAAACCCACATCTGGTTCCAAAGTCTGGACACTTTTTAATATTCCAGATTATTTTCAAGTAAAAGCTAGAGAAGCCTTTGACCTGGGGAGGAAAAAAAAAGGTGGGTCAACCAACTACATGACTTTGGGCATTCATACCATCCCAGGACTCAATTTGCTCTGTTCAGCAAATACCTATTAAGTACCTACTCTTGTATTAAAGATATATGTACAAGGGAGAGTTACTAGGTTGTCTGTAGTAGAAAACATGTTGCTAGACATTCACATATAGAAGCTGGAGGAAAAAGCCTTGTAAGTGTGAACCTATATTTATATGAGTGTTGAAAGGGCATGAAAGGACACTAATGCAATTGTTTTTTGGGGTCTTTTTTAAAGATTTTATTTATTTATTTGCTAGGCAGAAAGAGAGAGCGCGCGCACAAGCAGGGGGAGCACAAGGAAGAGGGAGAAGCAGGCTATTTGCTGAGCAAGGAGCCCAATGTGGGACTTGATCCCAGGACTCTGGGATTATGACCTGGGCAAGGGCAGACGATTAACCCACTGAGCCACCCAGGCGTCCCAAAAACTATTCTTTTTTTTTTTAATTTGTCAGAGAGAGAACATGCACAAGCAGGGGGAGTGGCAGGCAGAGGGAGAAACAGGCTCCATGATGAGCAAGGAGCCCAATGAGGGACTCGATCCTAGGACCCTGGGATCATGACCTGAGCCGAAGACAGAAGCTTAATCGACTGAGCCACCCAGGTGTCCACTAATGCGACTGTTAACACTGGTTACTGCTATTGGAAATCAACTGTAAAGAGGCCAAACATTAAAACATTGCACATATCATACTAAAACAACAACAAAAATCCATTGAATAAACATGTCCCAAAATCTTCTGCATAGGGTGAATTTCAAGTAGTCACACCTGTTTAAACAACCTTATGCTAAACACACACACATCTCTTTGTGTAAAGAAAACATAGTATTCAACTCTTAGTATCTATCTCCTTATATACACTCAATATCTAATAATCCCCTTATGTACACTCAATTTCAAATAATGCATGGTATAGGAAAGAGAAAGAAGCAGTTGATTCAAGAGACCTGGGTTCCAATCCCAGCACTGCCTTAAAATTCTTAACCTTGAGCAAGAACATAATGTTTTTGAGCCTCACTTTCCTTGTGTTAAAACAAGGGTATTCCTACTCCCTGCTTCATCCAATCCACACAATTCTTGTGAGGTATACATTATTAAACACTAAATATAAAGAATCCCCTAACGCAGACTCCCTAACATATATTAAGTAAAAAGATGGGGGCAGGGTGGGGGGAGGCTTTAAAAAGTTAACAAAATGTTGGTATTTTACAAACACCTTTTATGTGCCAAGCATGGTACTAGGCCCTGGCAAGGACAGAAAATAATAAACTATTGTCACAGTACTTAAGAACATCACAACTAGGGGCACTGGGTGGCTCAGTCGTTGGGCATCTGCCTTTAGCTCGGGTCATGATCCCAGTGTCCTGGGATCGAGCCCCGCATCGGGCTCCCTGCTCAGCGGGAGCCTACTTCTCCCTCTCCCACTTCCCCCTGCTTGTGTTCCCTCTCTCGCTGTCTCTCTCTCTGGCAAGCAAGCGAGCGAGCGAATAAATAAATGAATGAATGAATGAATGAATGAATGAATGAATGAATAAATAAATAAAAGAACATCACGACTAGGGGGCGCCAAAATGAATGAATGAAGGAACGGATGAACATCACAACTAGGGGGCGCCTGGCTGGTTCAGTCAGTAGAGCCTGTTACTCTTCACCTCAGGGTCCTAAATTCCAGCCCAACACGGGTTAGAGGAAGGAGCGAGGGAGGGAAAGGGCTTCACAGCTAGTAGGAAACAAGTATATACAATTCAAAGACAATGCAGCATACATAATTTGCATATAAAAGGTACACTGGAGAGCCTTCTGGAAGTTAAGAGGTAGGAGAGACCATTGCTACCTTTGCTGATCAGAGAAACTTTCCTGGATAATTGAACTGGGTCTTAAATAGTATGACCATAGAATCTGTCATCCAAACCGGAACACTACTCCAAAGCGAAAGGAAGTGCTAATATTAAAATGTTTGAAATATTTACGTATTGACAAACACATTTGCATCATGATACAATGATGTATGATTTTTATGATGGCTCCATAAAATAGTTCTATTCAAAAACTAATTTCAAAATAATTATCTTAAAAATATACCTGGAGCATTTCTCCCCAAGAAAAATACCCTGGTGGGGCCCTCCCTGTTGCCAGTGCCTTAAATTTAAATTTAATGCTATCTTCCAATCCCCTAACCTCACCAAGTCTACCAGAAGTAAAAGCATGGCCCCAGCTTCTGTACCTCCTACAAAAAAATAGTCCCAGATATCTTCCTTATCTTCCATGTTAGTTAGTGATGTGACCAAACAGGAAAAAGTGGATTGTGGGCATTCCAGGCAAGCACTCCAAAAACAAGGACTAGATTCAACTATTTGGGAACCTCAAGTTGGAAAGCTGTTAATTTGTATCCCTAATGAGAGGGTTCCATTTTGGGGGCCCCAACGATTATAAGCAATACTTGTTTCTAGGGGTACCAGGTGCACTCTCATAAGTATACTTTTACTTCTTGTGTGAAAGCCAGGCATTAACTTGCCTCTCTCCTCAAAACAAGGGAACATGCACCTCAAGAGAAGTGATAACTGACCTTCTTGTCAAGGAAACACTATGTTGGCCCCAAAAGTCATTCAGATTTGTCTCAACTCCTGGGCCAGAGTTGTGGATGATGAAATTCTGCAAGACTTCTTCCTTGCAAGCCCAGGAGGAGTCCGTGCAATCACTAAAATATCCTGCTATACCTGAGTTCATGCCTTAAGCCAAGATGAAAAGTCAATACAAAAATTTAAGGAGAAAGCCACCTGCTTTCTAATGTAAACACTACAAGAGATAAATTAAATAGATTTGGTACCAGCCCTGTGGGTCAGGTCAGATTAATTAGAGTAGCTGAGGGAAAGGCATGTTTGGTATAGAAAACAAGAATGGATTTTGTTGGGAGACAACTTTCAATGAGTTTCTCCTGTTTCTGCTTGTCTTCTGAGAGTTCTGGACTACCTTTTCAAGGACGTTATTTTAATAAAACAGACTTAAAAGACAAAGTGTCTCCTCCTGGTGCAGAGACAAGACTTACTTGCTATCCATAGAATCTTCCTAAAGCTAAAGGTAGATCAGGTTTGTTAGCAACCTCTTTAATAAAATTGGGAGTTCCCTAAGCTCAGGGTTCCTTAGCTATGACATAGACCCATGTGTGCAACATCCACCTGGACCCACCTTCACTCCCATGGACCTGTAGGACAAAGGAACCAACGCAAACGTGAATCTCCTGCTGCTTACTGTGCCAACAGTAATACAATTCTTTACCTCTTTATCAATATATCAATAATACAATCCTTTATAAAACAGTGGCAGGCTAACTCACTAGCTGGCAAACAGGATAAAATATAATAGTACATATTTCTTAACAGATGTTGGATTTTATCAAATGCTTTTTGTGTCTATTGAGATAATCATATAGTTTTTATTAGTTTGTTAATATGGTAAATCACAATGAATCTCCAATGTTAAACCAACATCGAATTCCCAGGATAAATCCCACTCAGTCATGATATATTGTCCATTTAATATACTATTAGATTTGACTTGCTAAAATTTTGTTTAGAATTTTTATATATATGTTGATGATGGAGTTAGGTCTGCAGTTTACTTTTCTTGTAATGTCTTTGTCTGGATTGGGTGTTAGGATAATGATGGCCCTCAGAGAATGAGATGGGAAATATTCCTTCTCCATTTTTGGGGGGAAGTTTGTATAGAATTGGTATTACTTAATCCTTAAATATTTGAAATAATTTACCAGTGAAGTAATTTTGGCTAGAGTTTTCATTGTGAGATTTTAAATTATAATTTTAATTTATTTAATAAATATAAGGCTATACTGGTTATCTATTCTTGTTTGAGTTTTGGTAATTTTTGTCTTTAAAGAAATTTATACATTTCACCCAAGTTGTCAAATTATTGTCCTAATGATGTTTAGAATACTCCCTTATCTTTTGTAATCTATAAAATCTATAGTGATATCCTCTTACTCCTAATATTGGTCATTTGTGTGTCCTCTACTTTTTTTTTTTCTTAAGATTTTATTTATTTATTTGAGACAGAGAGAATGAGAGAGAGATAGCACATGAGAGGGGGGAGGGTCAGAGGGAGAAGCAGACCCCCTGCTGAGCAAGGAGCCCGATGTGGGACTCGATCCGGGGACTCCAGGATCATGACCTGAGCCGAAGGCAGTCACTTAACCAACTGAGCCACCCAGGCGCCCTAAGATTTTATTTTTAAGCAATCTCTACACCCAACATGGGGCTCAAACTTACAACCCCGAGATCAAGAGTCATATGTTCTACCAACTGAGCCAGCCAGGCGCCCCTCTCTTTTTTCTGATCAGGCTGACTAGAGGTTTATCCATTTTATTAATCTTTGAGAAACTAGCTTTTAGTTTCATTGATTTTCTCCACTATTTTTCTTTTTTGTTTCACTAATTTCAACTCTGATCTGTATTATTCCTTTCATCTGCTTACTTCAGGTTTCATTTGCTCTTCTTTTTCTAGTTTCTTGAAATGAAAAGTTGGGGTCATTGACTTGTAGGAAAAGTAAATGCAGTCCCTGTTATTCCATTTTGGCTGGAAACAGAAGTTTACAGCTTCTGTTTTTAATCAGTAGATCATCATAGTTTGTTTTGGTGCATTTACGAATTATGTATGTACCACACCAATTAAAAGTTTAAGTTCTGCTCCATCAGTTTCTTAATAAGAACTTTGTTTTTTGGGGCGACTGGGTGGCTCAGCCGGTTAAGTGGCCCACTCTTGGTTTCAGCTCAGGTCATGATCTCATGGTCATGAGATTGAGCTCCGCATCTGCATTGGGTTCTGTGCTCATCCGGGAGTTGGCTTGAGACAGAGGAGTCGGCTTGAGGAGTCTCTTTCTCCCTCTGCCCCTCCTCACACTCGCACACACGCATTCACTCTTTTTCTCAAATAAATAAATCTTTAAAAAACAAAAAGAGTCTTGTTTTACCATGACATTATATTCCACTAAAATTTGTATTTATATATTCACTGACACCACAAATATTTTCCCCTCCAGTGAAGAAACTTTCAAAATAAATTGACAATAGCATTCATAACACAGTAAGATTGTCCACTTTTTAAAGAATGAACTTCAAAAAGCTTTTTAAATCCATGAATTGGATAAGAAAAAAAAATGGAAATGCTTGGAATAAACTTATTTTCTCTTTGAAGTATCTCATGATGAGATACAACTTCCATCATTTAACTTTTTGCAGTTTTTCTGCTAATGTAACCAATCTATTAATAGCAATTGCTTCGCTTTTTATATGTGCCAGTGCAGAAGATACATTTACATATCACTCTCTTACGCATGACTTTTAATCATTTTCAATTATAAGTTTTCTATACATATAGCTGTTAATGGAGTGGAGTAATTTAAAAACAAACTTGCCTAGTATAATATTTCTTAAAGTTAACTTCAGTTATGTCATAATAGTTAAGGTTTTGAAAGTAAATATTATGGCTAAACCTGTAGACATCTCAAACTCAATATCCAAAAACGAATTCATTTTCTTGTCCGTCAAGCTTGTTCATCAAGCTTCACCAGCCACTCAAGCTAGAAACCATGGAGTCATTTTCACACTTTCCCTACATCCAGTCAGCAGTCCTGTTGATTTAAATAGAGCAAAATTCCTGCAACAACCTCCTCCTCTTTACCCATTACTTTATGTCAAGCTAATCACCTAACTCCAACCATTTTAAGGGACTTCTAGCTTCTTTCCCTTCATACCACTCCACGCTGCACACTACACATAGCAAACCCTTTTAATTATATATACGTCATTTCAGCATTCAGTATCTTTGGCAGTTACGTCCCCAGTGACAAACTATACAACTCAGCACACAATCTGGCCTCAGTTTACTTTTCAGCTTCAGATTCAAATAGTCCTCTGGTCTGTTACATTATGTGTTTTCTGTCACTTTGCTATTTCCTATGGCGTATACTTTAACATTACTACACTTTTTCTTGGCCTGTGTTCTTCCATAACGTGTGTTCCCATAACATTTTGTATGCGCTCTAACATGGCAATTAATACACCATATTAATTTGAGTGTCATATCTTTAGAAGAGCAGTCATGGTTTATTCACATTGAAAATTCCCAAGCCCAACCAGCGTGCCTGAGATACAGTAGGTAAACAATATATGCTTGATAGATTATATTCCAAATATTCAGCTATGTACAATAGACAGTATCTGTACCAACGTTTAGTTTTTATCCCGAGTACAAGTTTTAACATAATAGCTAGAATTAATACTTGAGGAAATGTAGCAGTGAAGTTCCTGCCCGAAGAAAAGGATGGGTACAAGGACGAGAAAGGACAAAAAGTCAAATATGCTATTTAGGATGTAAGACAAGGAACACGGCCAGAAAAAAACCTGAGGAAAGCATGTGGCCTCCAGTTTAGAGCACTAGCTCAAGAAACCACACTTCACCGGAAGCCAGAAAAACGAGCAGGGAGAAGAACTAGCGAGGCGGCTTGTCAGTCCCACGCAGTCAGCGTGTGCGAACGTCCGCAGAGCTATTCACACACGCGAGGTGTTCTGCTTTGAGTAACCAGAATCTCGGGTTCCTGCGCGGCTTGGGCCGTACACACCCCACCGTCGAGGAGGCACACCCTAGCTTTTCCTGCAGGGCTGAGGGCCTGAGAACGTGCATCCAGACACACCTGCCGGGTAAGGGAAACGCGCCCCAGAGAAGCGACGGTGCAAAGGGAAAGATGGGCGTTAAGGGCGGGCGGGGAGCGCTCAAGTAATTAACAAGTAACCGAGCGCCGAGCCCTGAGGATAAGACCGCGCACAGGACAGATGCGATCCCTGCCCTCGGGATGTGGCTCTCAAATTTACTGCGGAAACGCGACTGCCCAGGACTGAGGAGGGGCGAGAGACCTCCGCGAGCCGGGTTTCTGGTGTCGCCTCCCTCCAGACGCGAGGCGGCGGTGGCCGCAGAGAACCACTCCATGCCCAGCCTGGGCCTCCTCCCGTGACCCCCGGCCCAGGACTGTCCCTTGGCTCTCACCGAATCCTTTAATGAGCTCGGTGAAGACCCCGGGGTCGCTTTCCATGAGGCACCACTCCCCGGCATTGCCCGTCATGGCCCCGGCCACACACCGCCCCGCTCCACCTCAAGCTCTGGCCGCCCCACACACCAGCTGCAGCCAGCCACTGATCTCGGCAAACCCGCCGCGGAGCTCGTCACTCCCACGTCACCCCGCCTACTTCCCGACAGCCTCCGGGCGCCGTCACCTGCCGCGCGACAGAGCGCGGGAGGACGCTCTAGCCACCCAGGAGACGGCGAAACCCTTCCTCGGCCGTGCAGGACCCGTAGCGGATTCGGAAGGGGCTGGGGCCTAAGAAGAAAGGGCGGGGTTCAGAGCGCCGTAGGAGGTAACATCCGGGATCCTCTCCCGCCAGGGGTGGGGAAAAAGGAGAGGGGCGGGGCTCCTTCCGGGGAGCCGAGCCTGGAGTCCCCAGCGGCGGTGGAGTCGGAGCAGTTACCGGCCGTGGGGTTGCAGCGGCTTCTTACCGTCTCCGCGCACCGAGCAGGGCTTCTCCCGGTGGCGCTGCGGGTTCGGAGGGTCGGCCGCCAAGCGTAGGTGAGGAAACTGCGGGAGGCCGGCTGGGGCCCTTTGTGCGGTCGGAGCTGCCCCGGGGACGCGCGGGGTTTGGCTGATCCTCGTGTCCCTCATCCAGCATCCCGGCGGCTGAGGCCGGAGCAGACACTTCGCCAAACCGTCGTTCTCCCCGGCGCTGCCTCTGCGTCCTGCCGTTGCTGGATAGCGGAAGCAGCATCTCTGCGGGCACAGCCTCGCTCGGCCCGGCTCGTCCGCTCGCGAGGGTGGGCCCTTCCCAAATCCCGCGCCGCCCGTCTTGTGCTGGCAGAGCCCTCCACAGGCCAGCGTCCGGAGGGCCTGCTTTAGCTTTACTCCTCCTCTTCCTCCTCCTCCTCCTCCCGCGGCTTCTGCGCCGAGAGGCGGTGCCCCGGATTTGGGGTTTGGGGAGAGGAATCTTTGTGGGGAGACAGAAGGTGAATTTATCCTCGGGGGAATGACGAGAGGAGGAAGATCTGTTCTGTAGTTCGTGGGGATGCTAGAGGCCTCAAAGAAAAGGAGGTTGAAAAAAACGTAGTGTATTAATTTAAAATAATTTGTAGTGTTTCTAAGATTAAACGAGTTAACCCCAAAATGCCTATTTTCGCTAAACCGTGAAATTGCCCTCATTCAGCAGGCTTTTGCAGAGTAAAGAGTAAAACCTTCAGGAGTATGTGTATTTATGCATCAACTCCTTAAAGCTCTGAATTCCAAGAAGGGCCTTTGGATTCCAGACAAAAATACTTCAGTAGACAAAACTGACCTACACCTCAGAGTAGGCGAGCATTGTGTTACGGACTATGTGAAGCCACAAAATAAGCATGACAAATATTACTGAGGGAGACAACAGAACAGTTTTTATATTAAAACAAGCGTGGCTATGGGGCGCCCGGCTGGCTCAGTCGGTAGAGCGTGCAACGCTGGATCTACGAATTGTAAGTTCGAGCCCCGCATTGGGCGTAGAGATTACTTTTAAAAAAGGGGTGGGGCATGGCTATATTATGGAGTAGAAATGAAAGTTTGTATCAAGTGTTTGATTTTTTTTTTTTTTTAATTTGAAGCTTTGGAGGGGGGAAGGATTTCTGTTCATTATTTGTTCCGTTAAGTATACTAAGTGGAAAAGTTTGTGAGGCACAAGAGTCTCGCTGTATTTCCTCCCAAAGCTGTTTGTGACCTTTTGTGGCATATTTTAACGTATAATATTACTGTGAACTTGAAAGTGTTTTCTGTGCTGAATATGTACTCATAACTAACATTTATTTGATATCCAACTTAACATGGTGCCTGTTGCAGAAAGACCAAACTGAAAATTTAGCCCTTTACACAACCTAGAAGTAACCAGAAAGGAGGGTTAAAATTCCTTCAGTTATGTTAACATTTAATCCTAACTTCACATGAAAATCCAGATTTCTGGGTCTGAGAAAAATAAGAAGATTTGGTAATACAAGGTCCCTACTACATGGCAGCCAGTTGGCTGAAAGTGTGTGCCTTTCAGGATGGCATGCTGTCATGTTTGCCACAGTTCCTCACCACTTTTTATTGCATCACATTTGACTTGATCAACTCAGGTACACTACCAGGAATGATACAGTTGTTTGAATTTGTGGCCTCAGTTTTTGCAGTAATGATTCTTTTAAATTGTCTTGCACGCTCATAGATGTATGTCAGCTTTGACTTCATTTAGAAAGGATTAAGCTGCAAAACTTGTTTGACCTCTTGGGATGAAAGCATTTTCAAATAACGATGGTTATCAAGAGATCAAGAGACTTTGGAAAATGATCAAGAGACTTCGGAAAGATACTCAGATGTGTACATTTAAGAAAAACAGTAACCCAAGAAATAATATTAGTACTGTTGAAAGATAACTATAGGGACGGCTGGGTGGCTCATTCAGTTAAACGTCTGCCTTCGGCTCAGGTCATGATCCCAAAGTCTTGGGATCAAGTCCTGCATCGGGCGGGAAGCCTGCTTCTCCCTCTCCTTCTGCCTGCGGCTCCCCCTAATTGTGCTCGCTCGCTCTCCTCTCTCTGACAAATAAATAAATAGTCTTAAAAAAAATTTAAAAAAAGATAACTATAAATGTTGTTCTAATGAACACAGCAGAAAGAAGTGCTATTACATATTGTGTATTAATTACTAGTGTTCACTGATTTTTGCATTCAGTATTAAGAGGCAATGTAAAAAATGGCCACAACCAATTTCAAATCGTGGCCATACCTTTAAAAATACTGTGATCTGTTTAATTCTTCCCTAACTTTTAATTTACTGAAGTTTAAAACAACTTTAGCTCTATTAAAGTCTTTGGAGTAGTGTGCTTTAAGAGCACTGGATAGGACAAGCCAACCCAAAGAATTAACTATCTTTTTTTGTTGTTGTTAATCTGGATTTACAACACTTGATTATTCAGGAGTGGATTAATTGATGACCAGGCTCTGACCTCACTCACTGCCCAAAATGCCTTCTAAATCACTGACAATGGAGCTTAAGCTTTGAGGAGGGAGATGATGGGAGTTGGGGAAAGGGGAGATTAGGGTCCTGTATATGTCTGTGTATCTCAAATTGCTTTCTGAAGACAAATATAAAAAATACAGGGTTAAATATCATTTGAATGTCTATTTATTTAAATAACTTCCTGGATATATTTTAATATAGTCAATTTTTAGTTTTCATTTTTTTAATGACCGATTTTTGAGACAGAATTCCTGTGTCATGAAATTCGCTATTTTTAAAATATGCCATACAGTGAATTTTAGTATATTCACAGACTTGTGTTGATATAGGCAGACTGAGTCCATGGAACCAGAAGGAGTCCTGCAGGACCAGCCAAGAAGGTTCTTGGTTTTACAAAGGCTAGAAATCAAACACCGTTTGAGAGGAAGTGGGAGCAGAGTTTATTGAAGATACAGAGAGAGGACAGATGGAGACACAGTATCTGAGAGACTCCGAAAGGAAAGGAGAGTGAGTCTGTTTTGCTTGGGGGATGGGGTTTTTATTGAGGATTGTGATCTGGTGTGCATGTCTTCTCAGACATCCAGAAACTGGGCAAAACAAGGACGAGTGCTCAGGTGTCCTCCTTAAGTCACTTACACCAGGAAGCTTGGCGTCAGGGTGTCTAGAGTCAGTGGTCTGCAAAATGTACATGACAACCTTGCCCTGTCACTCCTATTTATTGTAATGGAAGACTCCAAAGAAATCATAAACTCCTGGACCCTTACAAGAAGGGCATACATTTTTGTACTATAAGTATAAGGCATACATGTATAAGGTGGGGGTGCAGGTCCTAGCAAGAGTAGAAGCAGGAAAAGGAGCAAAAAAGGAGTTCTTCATGGAGTCCCTTCAGTTTCCCTATCTCAGTGTAACCATCACCATTATCTAGTTTCAGAACATCTTCACCACACCAAATAGAAACCCCTTACCACTTCGGAGAACAGACTGGCAGTTCTTCAAAAGGTTAAATATAGAGTTACCATATGATCCATCATTTTACATTACCACTAGCAATGTATGAGGGTTCTAATTTCTCCAGATCCTTACCCACACTTACTGTCATTTTCATTGTAGCCATCCTAGTGAGTGTGAAGTGGTATCTCATTTCAGTTTTGACTTGCATTTCCCTGATGAGTGATATGAACTGTTGGGGTTCAGGAGCAAACAGTCAAGAAAGAATTCTTGAGATGTCTTTAGTGCAGAAAGGGTGGTTTTATTTAACTATAGGAACAGGACCCATGGGCAGAAAGAGCTGAATTGGGGTTGTGAGGAGTGGCTGATTATATACTTTCAAATTGGGAAGGTGTTAGGGATAGCATAGGTCTCCAAGGAATTTGAAAGCAAGGTTTCCAGGACCTTGAGGGGCTAGCTGTTAGGAAATGTCATTTATTACTGTCTAATAAAAACTTAGTTATGAGACCCAGATGTTTATCAGCATGATATGTATATCAGGAGGCCATATGCTTGGAGGATGATTGCTAACATATATCTGGCCATTTGTATATCTTTGAAGAAGTGCCTACTCAGATGCTTTGCCTATTTTTTAATTGGGTTATTTTATTATTATTGAGTTAGGAGTTTTTTTATATATATATTCTAGATATAAGTTCCTTATGGTATGATTTGCAAGTATTTTCTCCCATTCCATGGGATCTCTTTTCACATTCTTGGTGGTATCCTTTGAAACACAAGTTTTAAATTTTGACGAAATCCAGTTTATCTTTTTTTCTTTTGTTACTTTTGCCTTTGTTGTCTGTTTTGAGATCAGTTCTCTGTCACAGACTCTGTCCTGCACTTCAGTTCAGTTCCAGAGTTAGCTTCAGATCCCACAAGTTAGAGGGCAAGATCTCCAACAAGACTGCCCTTATTTCAGACACCAGCTAGAGTAGGGTCCCTAGTCTATGCAACCAACTACAGTAAGTCTTCCCACAACCCCCCAGGGTCGATAATTTACTAGAATGACTCACATAACTCAGTAAAAGCACTATCCTTATGATTATAGTTTTAATATAAAGGATATGACTCAGGAACAGCCAAGTGGAAGTCACATATAGGCCAAAGTCTAGAGGCAGGAGAGGGAATACCCTCAGTGTTGAATCCTGGCAGTTCATACTCCCAGCACATCAATTTCTTAACCAGTTAGGAAGCTCCACTGAACTTCGATGTTCAGAGTTTGTACATGGGATTTTATTATGGGGCATGATTGATTGTGACTGGTTGACTATGTGGTTGAGCCCAACCTTGGGCCCTACACCCCTCCTGGGGTGTTTGATCTGGCCCAGAATTCCAACTCTTTAATCAAATGATTGGTCTTTCCGGTGACCAGCCCCCATCCTGAAGCCCAGAATGAATCGCCACATTAGCATAACAAAGACTCCTATCAATCTGGAAATTCCAAGGATTTTTGAAGCCCTGCCAAGAAACATGGACAAAAACTAGATACTCTTTATTATACCACTGTCTTATCACCCAGCCAATTTTAAAGTTAATTTATATATCAGCACTTAGGGACAAGGAGAGTAGCTTAGAACTGCTGCCATTCCGCTTTTCATATTGCACTTTTAAAAATTTGATTGTGGCAAATTTACACAAATGAGTAGAGAGGGGCCGTTCGTGATCTGTTCCACTGTTTTATGTTGCATCCTGGAAAGAATAGTCACCGAAGCATGTGAAAAGCTGAGCCTTTTTTCCTGCAGAAATGTTTAAAGGGTAGGTCTTCGTGGTTGTTTTTAACATATGCAAGAGTAAGATTCCTTTGATAAGGCAATGAGTAAGTAACTACATTTCTTATAATAGGGATTACAAGGATTACATTTAGGGATTGCTTTTAAGCATCTACCCTAGATTTAAAAGTTCATTTTCTGCTTGCTTAACAAAAGATAACTTGAATACCTAATATTAAATATATTAGAAAAACTTACAAAGAGATACTGTTCTGCTCAAAAGACATTTTTACTCCGTACTCATTACTTCCTCTTTGTAACTTTTTCACGTTTAATTTTTCTTGATTGTATATCCACTACCTGTATATAGTATATTTTTTCTTGATTACAGAATTTATCTTAAAGGCTTGAATTACATTTTTTTTTTTTTTAAAGATTTTATTTATTTGACAGTGAGAGATAGAGCGAGAGAGGGAACACAAGCAGGGGGAGTGGGAGAGGGAGAAGCAGGCTTCCCGCTGAGCAGGGAGCCCGATGCGGGGCTCGATCCCAGGACCCCGGGATCATAACCTGAGCCGAAGGCAGACGCTTGACGACTGAGCCACCCAGGTGCCCCTTGAATTACATTTTTAATTGCACACGTTGAGTCTTATTTTCAAAATAAATGTGTTACAGGAAAGAAAAACCAGTCATACATGATTCTTAGATGGTTCAGAAAATCACTTTAATACTGCTTAGTTATCCTCAAATATGCATTACTTAAGTGGTGTTTTAGGTTCAGAGAAGGGATACACAATTAAACCAGATCCCTGCTCTTAAGGGAACTAATATTAGCTAGACATACAAAGAATAATAACAAAGGAAAGAATTTGGAGGGGAGGGAATTTTGAGATTTGGATTGGGACCTTTAAATCACACCTCTTGGGTTTTGGTTCAGGAAGGCTGTTTTATTAGCATAATCTGATATTGAGTATCATTTCAATATTATTCATCTGACAAATACAACTAATAAGCAGGAATAGCCAAGTTAAAGTACCACCCAAGGGTATTTTTGTAAAAGCTTAGAGATGAAGCTAGCAATGTCAAATGCAGTGTAAAAGTCAAAATAATAGAAAATTTTCTACTGGAATTAGCAGTTAAGGTGTCAGTCTTTGAGAAGCCTGTTATTCTCAAAGTTTTTTTGACTGAAAGGCAGATAAGAAGCCATATTGAAAAGGGTAAGAATAAATAGCAGAAGCATCATCTGTTGCACCAGGAGTTTCAGCCTGTACTGCTCTGGGTAACTATAAATCAGTCCTTAATGACTAATATAATATGATCATTACACTTGACACCTGAGGCCTAGGTCTGCCCTAACATAAGCTACTTTATACCAGAACTTTATTTGAAATATGACACTGTTTATTTCCAACACCCCCCTCCCCACCTACAGTCACATTCAAAATGTGAGGGTTTCCATTCTCCAATGCATTTATCCCCACACCATTCTGAGACCCAACCTCATTGCTCCCTTGCATACCAGACTTCCCACATTGGAAACTTCAATTTCCTATTCTCTCTTTTCTCAAACCCATCTTCACCCTTAGTGAAGGAGATACCTCTTTTGCTGTCAATAGGCCAGTCTCACCCTGGATGCTCTAAAGCTCCTTCTGTTCCACTTTTAGTGATCTCATTCCCTCAGTTATATTCTTTCTTTACTGTCTTCCACTCTCCAAATTGAATCATTCAACTTCAGCCTCAGAGTCTTCTCATCTAGAAAGGTAAAAAGATTTTTCTTCGTGTTCTCATCTTCTCTGTTACCATCCCAAAAGAGTAGTCCACCTTTGAAGTCTCTCACTCATTGCATACTCCTACTAATCTTACCACTGTAATCAGGCTCTCTCTTGCAGAACTCTACTAGAGTTGCCCTTCCTCATCACTACTGTTTGCTAATCCAGTGGTCATTTTCCCGAGTTATTTTACTTCATCTCTGAGCATTTGGCAATTCCCAGCCACTGACTCCTTGAAATTCTCTTCCCTATGGTCCATGATACTACTGTTCTGGTTTGCTATGTACCCCTCCTTCTCTTTCTCCTTTAAAAAGGGCCCTTTTCTCCCTAGCTCTTTTTTTTTAAGATTTTATTTATTTATTTTTGAGAAAGAGAGCAGGAGCAGGGGGAAGGGAGAAGCAGACTCCCCACTGAGCAGGGAGCCCGATGTGGGCCTCCATCCCAGGACCCCAAGATCATGACCTGAGCTGAAGGCAGACACCCATCCGAGCCACCCAGGCGCCCCTTTCCCTAGCTCTTAATTATTAATACTCACCAGGATTCCATCTTAAGGCTTACCCACAATATATAAACATGTTCAAACTTGTATCATCCTCAAAACAAAATTTCTTTTACCTTGTGTTGCTTTTTAAGTTACTACCTTACCTGTCATTTCTTTATAGCTGTGCCAGTATACTTAGTTCTTTTTCTAAAATCTATAGATAGCAAGATTTCAGAAATCCCTTTCTGGAACACATTCCCCCAAACTTAATATACCAGTTTTTCAGTTTGCCTTCTCTGCACACGTCTTTTTGTATTACTGAAACAGCATTATTTTATTCTCCTCTGCTGACTCACACAGTACTTTTTTATTAAAGCACTTAATTACAGTTGGCTTTGTATATGTATATATTTCTGCCTCACCAAACAGAATGTGGTACCATAGCTGCCCTCACTAACCCTTTTATTCTCTTTCTAGGCCCCCAGACCCCATGCTGAGCTAGCTGCCTGCTTAGTCTCTGAAGCAACAAACTATACCTCAGAAATGTAACCTAGTTGCTTCTGGCTATCATGCTCCCACTTAATGAGCTTAAAAAATACTTGTTAAGTTCAAAGATTGTGTAACAGGGGCACCTTGGGTGGCTCAGGCGGTTAAGCCTCTGACTTCGGACTTCGGCTCAAGTCGTGATCTCAGAGTCCTGGGACGGAGCCCGGAGCTGCAGGCTTTACACTCTGGGAAGTCAGCTGCTCCCTCTGCCCCTCTCCCCTGTGAGTGCGCGTGCGCATGTGTATGCTGGCGCGCGCACGCGCACACACGCTCTCAAAATCTTTTTTAAAAAAATCAAAGATTTTGTAACAGATTTCAAAAAGCATAGATTAATAAATGTTTTCAAAAATAAAGACGTTTTCCTTTTTGTAATTTTACTGTTTTCTTTCTAGCTATAATAACATTTTGCTTTTTGATAGGTTTCCTAAAAGACAGAAAAATGGAGGAATCAGTAAACCAAATGCAGCCACTGAATGAGAAACAGATAACCAATTCTGAAGATGGATATGTATGGCAAGTCACTGATATGAATCGACTACACCGGTTCTTATGTTTTGGTTCTGAAGGTGGGACTTACTATATCAAAGAACAGAAGTTGGGCCTTGAAAATGCTGAAGCTTTAATTAGACTGATTGAAGATGGAAGAGGATGTGAAGTGATCCAGGAAATAAAGTCATTTAGTCAAGAAGGCAGAACCGCAAAGCAAGAGCCTATGCTCTTTGCACTTGCCATCTGTTCTCAGTGTTCCGACATAAGCACAAAACAAGCAGCATTTAAAGCTGTTTCTGAAGTTTGTCTCATTCCTACACATCTCTTTACTTTTATCCAGTTTAAGAAAGATCTGAAGGAAAGCATGAAATGTGGCATGTGGGGTCGTGCCCTCCGGAAGGCTATAGCAGACTGGTACAATGAAAAGGGGGGCATGGCCCTTGCTCTGGCAGTTACAAAGTATAAACAAAGAAATGGCTGGTCTCACAAAGATCTATTAAGATTGTCACATCTTAAACCTTCCAGTGAAGGTAAGCATGAGATCTTTGGGTTGGGGGAGGTTGCAGATACCTGGTAAACACCAAATTTTTATCTGACATAAGATAATTATATAATATCTTCTAGAATAGCCTTTCAGCTTCAAAACACATTGGTTGACTAATTCAAATGTTTAATGCCAACCTGGAATTAAGCCCCTACCACAGGCAATCCAGACATTACTAATCAAGGATCAAACGACAGATACATATTAATCTAAATCTCAGAATGTCACCATGCTAACTAGAATGCTTACCCAAGTGATTATGCACTATGAAAGCAGCATGGACATGATTAAAGTTGTAGTAATAAGCAAAACAGCTCCTAGCCAGTAGATGGCAGATAGCCAGGCTATCCTGCTCTAGTCCCTTATGATTTTTTTCCCTCCCTGTCTTCCTAGGATATATGGTCCATGGAACCTAAAGGCTACCTGAAATAGTGCTGAACTTAACAATTCAGGATGTTAATTGTCTCCAAGCAGTCAGCCAGGGGACCTGGTAACCTGGGGCAGTTTTTCTGTGTCTATGGGAAGAGACTTGAGAAGTTAGTTGGATGTATGATAATTACTTAGTCCTTCTTAGAAGGGAAATAAGAAAAACATTTGGGCAAGAATAATGTAAAATATGAACTTCCACAACATTTCCAAAATATGCTCTTTTTTTAATACCGCAAGTGAAACTTGAAAAGACAGCTCCTCATTAATTCCTAATTTATCCATTTTATTATGAATGGACTTTTTAAAATGAAATTTAAACAGTAAATTATTGCAAATAGTTATATAAACAAACCCATTTGTATTTTGTTTTTTTATTAGAAATTATATGTTTGTTTTAAAATAGCTGGATAATACATAAAAATATAATGCAGAAAGTAGGAGTCCTGCCCATCAAAAGATGTGTTGTATATGACTCCTAAACATACACTGTTTTATTTTTTAAATTTTTATATACCTTCTTTGTTTCAGTTAAAAGCATATTGATATTTCTTCAAGTCAGGAGAAATAGTTGCTTATATAGCATTGTATGAATATACTATAATTTAGCTAGTCTCTTACTGATGACACTGAAATAGCTTCTGGTTTCTTATACTATTACAAAACTGCTACAGTGAAAAACTTGCATAATGTAAATATTTATATAATGGGTAAACCCACAGAGTTCATAGAAGTGGCCGGTTTCCCCACATTTGAACACTGACTGTTACCAGTGTTTTTTAATCTCTGCCAATAGGATAGGTGAAAAATTATATCTTATTGAATTTGTGGGCAAATGTTCATCTTCTCATATGCTGCTGATTATATGTAATCTTTTGAGTATATCTTTGTCCTTTTTTCCATTGAGTTGCTATTCTTAGTATTAATTGTCACCATTCATTCATTCAACAAATATTTATTGAGCACCAAATGGATGGGCACTGTTCTAAGAACTTGGGACACATAGGAATTTATAACTTCATATTATATACATATGATGCACATTCCCCCCCCTTTTTTTCTTTGTCTTTCAATTTTTTTTGATGGGGGTTTCTGACATTGAGGTTTGGAATTTTAATGTAATGAAACTTGACTGTTTTTCTTCATAGATTTTTGTTTTGTGTTGGGTTTAGAATGGCCTTTTCCAACTAAAGTCATAAAAATATTTACCTGGTTTTTTTTTTTCTCTAATGTATTCATGCTTTAATTTTTTACTTTTAAATCTTTAATTCAGTATAAGAAGAATGTAGGGATCCAGCTTTGTCTGTTGAGACACTACATGGTAGTGTGTACCTAAGTGCTAGTTCTAATTGGGAAAACTTGTTTCTGAATTTGTGCAGATAGTTATTCTGGGTTTTGAATTCTTGTTCTATAAAATGAGGAATTAGTAGATGTTCCCTAAACTTGCTCCCACAGACAGTATTCTTTAATTCTAAATTTTTTGAGGGCAGAACTCATACTTGAAATCTTTTAGTAATAGCAATATGTTCAGGCGTAAGAGATCCCTATGCTTCTCAGAGTGAAAAGAATTTGGAAAGAAACTCTAAGCTTCCAGAATAAGTAATATTGTAATACTTGAGCTGAAATGTGTATTTGAAACAGATGAAACATGTCAAAATATAATTTAACTAATCAGGTATTTATTGTATACTTACTGTGTGGCCAACATAGAACTTGAGTAAGATAAAAATAATAATAAGCCTGCCTTTAAGGAAGTTATATTTTAGTTGGAAAGACAAAATAGAAGACATGCTCACATATGAAACATTTAGTAATTTAAGACAATATAAAATTTTGTTACTAAAAACTGGATAACGAGTCACAATACTTTAGAAGTCCCTACATATTAATATTGACTTTTGATCAAATTATGTAGAGTCCAGAGATAACATATAGTCTCAGTCTGCCTTAAGGATGGATTTTATTTGGCCTGCACAGTATTTTAGGGAAATAATGAATTCTTTGCTAACATCACTTTAAAAAAATCAGAAGACATCACATAAAAATACCTATGCTAGCTTGAAAGTACTTGATTTGTTAGCACTAAGCCAAAACTTCGCTAAAACATTAGTAGGTTGTACTCTCTTTAGTTCGTTGCATCATCTTAACCACTGTCTATTACATGACCTGTGCCATATATTTATTTTACCAACATTTACCCCATAGGCCTTTCTGAGTCTGATAACTCAAACATCCCCTTTCCCCATTTTACAGAAGTGAAAGCTAAGGCCCAAATTGGTCACACAGCCATTTATTGACAAAATGTAGGCTTAGAACTCAAGCTTCCTCAGCATCCCAATCCAAAGTTCTTTCCACTATTAAAAGAAATTACAAAAGAAATGAACACCTTGTTTTCCTTTAATTTGGCCTCATTTATTTAAAAACAAAATTACAAATTACCTACCTGTCCACTTCCACTTATCTCTGCTACTTGTAAATGCTTATTTATTTAGTAGCGGAAAGGGACAAGTGAATAGGAGAATATTTGAGACAGATCTGTACTTTGTGAATCGTTCTGAGATTGTAGACCTGAGATAGGTATTGTCTACCAAAGTTTCTAATGCTGGTGTCTCAAAAAAGAAAAAAACTCTATAATAAAATGACTTAGAATATAGGAGATTTTTTTCCAGAGCCTCATATTAAAACGATTATGATGGAATAAACAAAATCATTTGACTCCATTGGCTTAAATGTCTTTGTTATGTCATAGAAAGCAGCCTCACAGTGTAAAGAATTTAGCTCCTCTGTATCTAGTTATTTCATTCTCAGTAAACATGTTCTGTTTTTCACCCAGAAATTCTCATGCCATTTCAATTCTTTATTTTCTTAAAGGACTTGCTATTGTGACCAAATATATTACAAAGGGCTGGAAAGAAGTCAATGAATTGTATAAAGAAAAAGCACTTTCTGTGGAGACTGAAAAATTATTAAAGTATCTGGAGGCTGTAGAGAAAGTGAAACGCACAAAAGATGAACTGGAAGTCATTCATCTAATAGAAGAGCATAGATTAGTTAGGGAACATCTTCTAACAAATCATTTAAAGTCTAAAGAGGTAAGTATAGCATGTGATTAAACATGTAATTTATAGTTTGTATTATGTATTAAAATTCATGATATGATATGTATAAAATTTAAGATATGTAATTTATAAGGTGGGTAACATCAGTTCTTTTTAACAAAAATGTAAATTAATATCTTGAAATTAATATTTATTTAAAATACTTAATACAATGCCCAGATGTAGTTGGCATTCAGTTAAGTGTTATTTCTGCTTCATAAAGGCTGGTTAATTTGCCTTGCTAATTAAAAATAAATAAATAAAATTCTTCTGTGCAGTTCCTTCATAATATAGACTTTACTTTCTTCCTCTATAAAGAGCAAGTTAATTTGATAAGCCTTTAACCAATGTGCAAATCTTTTTATTTAGGAAATACCTAGAACCCCAAAAGAAAGCCTTAAAGAATGTTAGTAATATTATTATTGATACCACTATTATGCTGATTCATTTGCCCTTAATTTCTCATATTTCTACGTGTGTCTTTTCTATAGGTATGGAAGGCTTTGTTACAAGAAATGCCTCTTACCGCATTACTAAGGAATCTAGGAAAGATGACTGCTAATTCAGTGCTTGAACCAGGAAATTCAGAAGTATCTTTAGTATGTGAAAAACTGTGTAATGAAAAACTGTTAAAAAAGGTAAGCATTGGGTGGCTCGGTTGAACATCTGCCTTTGGCTCAGGTCATGATCCCGGGGTCTTCAGAGCCCCCTGCTCAGCAGGGAGCCTACTTCTCCCTCTCCCTCTGTCCCTCCCCCCCGCTTGTGTGTGCGTGCATGCGCGCGCTCTCTCTCTCTCTCTCAAATAAATAAATAAAATCTTAAAAAAAAAAAAAAGAAAGAAAAAGGTAAGCATTACCTTTGTTAGCTACTACTAATTGAAAAAGTCACCTCCTAAATTTTGGAAATGTAGCCAGTGCAGTTTCAGATGTTCTGAGACTTGGATACTTTTATCATACCAGATTTCATTTAACTATGAAGTCTATGTCCTCATTTTTGTTTTTTCTCTGTGAAATATATTTATTAGCTACAGTAACAAAACCTAAGACACATAATGACTATCTTTCATTTGAATTTTGCATTTACTTTCTGTCTGTGTCTTGTTTCTAGGCTCGTATACATCCATTTCATGTTTTAATTGCATCAGAAACTTATAAAACAGGTCATGGTCTCAGAGGAAAACTAAAGTGGCGCCCTGATGAGGAAATTTTGAAAGCTTTGGATGCCGCTTTTTATAAAACATTTAAGGTAATGGTTTGACTTTTGTTTTATAACAAATGACCCAGTTGGGACTTGATATATTTTATAAAAACACATTTTAAAGATGATACTAATAGTTTAACCATTTTTTATTAGATAGTCATTTGTTTTTCCATAGTTCGTGTAAATGTGGATATGTAATTAACATTGTTAAGTTTATGAGTAAAGAATTTCTCCTTACCTGTGGACAATACCCAATCATAAAATCATTTTGTTAAGTTTTAAAATACCAAATTTAAAATTTTTTATCCCTGTAGAGTCCTTTGACTTGGTCCTCTGTCATTCTGTTAATCAGTAGTGGATCTCCTCTATCTTCGTGGGAAGTGATTTTTTTTTTTTTAGGACTGACAATCCTACATCAGAGCTATAAGTTAGTTTTTGGTTTTAAAATTTTCTTGTTATTCCGCAAAATAGTAGTAACTAAATTCATCAAATTAAAGGGATTATACAAATGAAATTTATCTTCAATATACAAAAATCAATGTAATACATCACATTAATAGAATGAAAGGACAGTCACACGATCTCAATGCAGAAAAAGCATTTGACAAAATTCAGTACCATTTCATGATTTAAAAAAACAATAAACTAGGAATAGAAATGAACTTCCTCAACATGATAAAGAACATATATAAAAAACCCACAGCTATTGTTATACTCAATGGTGAAAGACTGAAATCTTTTCCCCTAAATCTAGAGAACAAGACAAAAATGCCAACTTTTTTCCACTTCAGTTCTACAAAGTACTGGAAGTTCTAGCAGTTAGGCAAGAAAAAATAAATAAAAGGCATCCAGATTGGAAAGGACGAAAAACTATCTCTGTTCTCAAATGACATGACCTTATAAGGAGAAAAGCCTACAGAATTCACAGAGAGCTTAGAGCCAACAAACAAATCCAGCAGAGTTGCAGGATATAAAACCAATAGGTTTTTCTAAAATACTAAAATCATTAGTATTTCTATATACTAGCAATGAACAATCCAAAGGCCTTAGCCTTTGATTAGCCTTAAGAAAACATTTCCACTTACAGTAGTATCAAAAAATAAATAAAAGACTTAGGAATAAACTATGAAGGTGCAAGATTCGTAAACTGAAAACTATAAAACATTGCTCTAAGAAGTTTAAAAAGACATAAATAAATGGGAAAGACATGGTTTGGAAGACTTGTTAAGATGACAGTACTACCCAATTCAGTGCAATTCCTCTGGCATGTTTTGCAGAAATGGAACCCACTGTAAAATTTATGTGGACTTTCAAGGGACCCTCAAATAACAAAACCAATCTTGAAAAAGAACAAAGTTGGACTACTCATATTTCCAAACTTACAGGTTTCAAAACTTAGTATAAAGCTACAGTAATCACAACCATGTGGTACTGACATAAAGGCAAATACATAGACCAGTGGAATAGAATGCAGAGGCTAGAAATGAACTCTCACACGTGTGATCAATTGATTTTTGACAAGAGTGTCAAAACAGGCTAATGCAGGAAAAGCTGGTCTTCAAAAAATGGTGCTGGAGAAACTGGATAACCACATGCAAAAGAACAAACTTGCCTCTTTAAATTACACCACATACAAAAATTAAAGTGGACCAGTGACCTATATTTAAGAGCTGTAACTATAAAACTCTTAGAAGAAAACAAGAGGGAAAGTTTCATGACATTAAATATGGCAGTAGATTCTTACATATGTCACCAAAGCACAGGCAATAAAAGGAAAAGTAAATGAATTGGACTTCATCAAAACTTAATAAACCTTTTGTGCATCAAGGACACTATGAGGAGAGTGAAAAGATAACCTACAGAATAAGAGAAAATATTTGTAGATCATGTATATGATAGCTTTTTAATGTTTACAATATATATAAAGTGCTACAACTCCACAGTAAAAATACAAAAACCCAATTCAAAAATGGGGAAAGTAGTTGAACAAGATATTTCTCCAAAGAAGATATCCAACTGGCCAATTAGCACGTGAAAAGATGTTCAACATCATTAGTCATCAGGGAAATGCAAATCATTGGTTCTTATCAAAAAAGCAGAAATAACAAGCCTTTGGGAGGATAGAAATTGCAACCCTAGCACATTGCTGGTGGCAATGTAAACTGGTACAGACCTGTGGAAACAGTTTGGTTGTTCCTCAGAAAGTTAAACCTAGCATTACCATGCCACCCAGCATTTCCACCACCTATGTATATACCCAAAAGAATTGAAAACAGAGAATCAAATATACCTGTAAATGAATGATAATAGGAACACTATTCACAATAGCTAAAAGGTAGAAACAACCCAAGTGCTCAACAAGAGATGAATGGATAAACAAAATACAGTATATACATACAGTGGAGTATTCAGCCTTACAAAGGAATGGATTTTGAAACATGCTACAACGTGAACCTTGAAAACATTATGCTACGTGAAATAAGCCAGACACTAAAGGACAGGTATTATATGATTCCATTTATATGAGGTATCCGGAATAGGCAAATTCATAAGAAAGAAGTAAAACAGAAGTTGCAAGGGGCTAAAGGGGGTTGGGAATGGGGAGTTATTAATGGATACAGAGTTCTATGTGGGATGATGAAAATGTTCTTGGAAATGGATAGTGGTGGTTACATACCATTGTAAATGTACTTAATGCCATGGAATTGTACCCTTAAAAATGATTTAAAAGCAATTTATGTTATTTATATTTTACCACAAAAAAATTTTGCTAGAAATTCTGAGTTTACTTTATGAGGAATGATTTCTAAAAAAGAAAACACAGGAATATGGTAACTTCTTTAAATAAAATTACTAAGTAGGCTATCTTATTTTCTTTGTTTTTCCCCTCTAGTAAAAGCTAAGCATTTTCACGTACTTGTCAATTAATTGGTAAATCAAAAATCGTGTCTTTTATCTTAGAAGTCTCTCAAGTGAAAGATGAGTAAATATGATTTTTAGGAATCTAACTGTAATTTCTATGATTGCTTTTAATGATTGTTTTGTTTGTTTGTTTTTTTAGACAGTGGAGCCAACTGGAAAGCGTTTCTTGCTGGCTATTGATGTCAGTGCTTCTATGAACCAGAGAGTTTTGGGTAGTGTACTCAATGCTAGCACAGTTGCTGCAGCAATGTGCATGGTGAGAACACTAAGACAATTTAGAATTTTTGCCGCCCTAAAAAATGTTTAATGTGGGGCAAAACTATAAAGTTCGATATGGTCAAGGATTATGTTTTCACTCGTTTTTGTCATTTTGCTTCATAAGCAAAGTTTTAAGCCTGGGTGGCTCAGTCAGGTCACAATCTCAGGGTTGTGAGTTTGAGCCTGCATCGGGCTCCACACTGGGCATGGAGCCTGCTTAAGATTGTCGCTTTCCCTCTGCCCCTCCCCACTGATGTGCGCGCTTTTTCTCGCTCGCTCTCTTTCTCTCAAGAAAAAACAAGTTTTAAGTATACTGTATGCATATGGTATTGTAGGTAATATTTATAAAGCATGTCTAAGGAACAATAGAAATTTTAATTTTACCAAATATTAAATATTAATGTATTGTTGAGAAAGTAGATAATGCTTAGAGAAATTATTAATAAATATAGAAATTAAAAAACCAGGAACTAAGAATAACAGACTTTGGTTTTAGCCTGACTCTGTCACTTCTCTTCTGTGGCTGTATTCTTTATTTAATAAAATGAGAAGAACATATACTCTGCTTCAAAGGATAGTTATGAGAACCAATTGCTTTGTAACAGTTTGTGAAAGTACTTTGAAAGCTATACTGTTACTGTGTAGTCCTAAAACAAAATAAGTTTAGAAATAAAATAAATATCTTTTCTTTTAAAGATTTTATTTGAGAGAGAGAGCACGGAGTAGGACGGAGGGGCAGAGGGAGAGGGAGAAAAAGACTCCCCACTGAGCAGGGAGCCCAATGCGGGGCTCCATCCCAGGACCCCAGGATCACGACCTGAGCCGAAGGCAGACGCTTAACCAACTGAGCCACCCAGGCGTCCCAAATTAAATATTTTCTAAAGATGAAGTTTTATGAACTTCAAGGTACTGTATTTATTTCACCCAAATCTGCTGAAAATTACCATCTTTGAATTTTTCAGGTTGTCACACGAACAGAAAAAGATTCTTATGTAGTTGCTTTTTCAGATGAAATGGTACCATGTCCAGTGACTGCAGATATGACATTACAACAGGTTTTAATGGTTATGAGTCAGGTAAGGAACTGTTTTACTAAGTTTACTTAAAGTGTTGTATAAGAATCTTATTTTGATGTTATGCCTGATATTAATAAGTTTATGAGAACAAATAGTTTTATCTCAATTTTCCCATGAGCACAAAATAATAAATATATACACAGGCTTTGAGAAGGTCTGTGTATTAGCTGTAAGCAAAATGATAATGTAAAAAATAGTATTTTTAAGTATTTAATTATTTCAGACATCTCAGTATGGAAACTAGGACACTTTTATTCTTATCCATGTTTTTGTTCTGAGTTAGATCCCAGCAGGTGGAACTGATTGCTCTCTTCCAATGATCTGGGCTCAAAAGACAAACACAGCTGCTGATGTCTTCATTGTCTTCACTGATAATGAGACTTTTGCTGGAAGTGTCCATCCTGCTTTTGCTCTCAGGGAGTATCGAAAGGTAAAATTCTAATATTCTTTCTCACCCCAAATAAGACTCAGTTCTCAAATATCCACTCTGTTTTTCCAAAAAATACTGAAGATAGTTCTGTACCTTTGTATAGGGATACACCACCAGTTCAACAGTACTTGAAATAAAAAATATTGGCTATAATTACATGGTTTATTTCAACTAGTCCCAATTCTATACATTACTAAAATATCCTCTGCAAACTGTTTTTGGCAATAATAAAAGTATTTTACCTTAACTCTAAATTTTTAATAATTCATTGTGCTCCTTGAAAAATTAAAGTATCATTTATTAATTTTGTTAAAGCACTACATAAAGTTAAAGCAAAGCTATCATCTGTTTTAAGTTTTATGGCTACTTCTGTGTTCTAATCAGTGCTCTCTCTGAAATCATGGAAATGTTCTGTATCTACAGTATCCAATGTGGTAACCACTAGTCACGTATGGCTATCAAGCACTTGAATTGTGGCTAGTATGATGAGAACTAGAACTTGAGGAGTTCTGGTTCTCAGATTGGGGTTTTCCTATCAGCAGCCTTAGCCTGGGACCTTATTAGAATTGCAAATTCCTGGACCCCATGGGAGACCTGCTAAATAGAAACTGGAGAGTGGGATTATGTTTTAACAAACCCTCCTGGGGATTCTAATGTATGTTAAATTTGAGAAGAAGGGAGCGAATAGAAATTGTAGTCAAGGCAACCTGGGTTCTGAGTCCTGGGTCTTTCTCTTTTACTAACTGTGGACCTATGCAAATTATTTAACTGATACATGTCATAGTATTTAATAGTACCAATCTTTCAGAGTTATTGTAACAATTATATTAGATACGTTACTTAAAGAGTTCATTACGGTATCTGGCATATTGTATACTCAGTGGTTATTGGGTTTTCTCCAAAATTCAATTATTTTAACCTAAAGTCATAGCTGTAGAGAACAAATTCTTACATGTGACATGTATATATCATATATAACAAAACCATAGACCAAAAGTTGAGAATCGCAGGGAAATACTTCTTTATATATACCCACACACACTGCCCCAGTGTTTCATATATTGGTAAAAATACCTGATGCCCCCAAATGTCCTGACAGGTTTCATAAGTAGAAAGTCTCTAGGCTGCATAAGAATGCACTCTATAGGGGCGCCTGGGTGGCTCAGGTCATGATCCCAGGGTCCTGGGATCGAGCCCCACATTGGGCTCCCTGCTTGCCAGGAAGCCTGCTTCTCCCCCTCCCACTCCCCCTGCTCTCGCTGTGTCTCTGTCAAATAAATAAATAAAATCTTTAAAAAAAAAGAATGCATTCTATGGCCCATGGAACAGAGAAGTGGGAATTTCAGGCAGGCTGTTCACACAATTTTATTTTCTGTTCTGAAGATCACAGAGTCTGACCCTGAAAGATTAACAAATTTTATGGAGAGAAAAAAATAATGACTTTGAAATGAAAAGTTGAGATAGAATTTGAAGTGTTTTAATTTTGGAGGTTATTTGCTTTTGCTTACATAAATTTTTTAAATATGTATTTTGATCTTTTCCTACAGAAAATGGACATTCCAGCTAAATTGATTGTTTGTGGAATGACGTCAAATGGTTTTACCATTGCAGACCCAGATGATAGAGGCATGTTGGATATGTGTGGCTTTGATACTGGAGCTCTGGATGTAATTCGAAATTTCACATTAGATTTGATTTAACCATAAGCACCAGCATGATCTAAGAGGTCCGTTGCCATCAGTGATCTCACTAAAAATATGTAGCTACTTCCCAGCTAATCTTAATCCAATGAAAGATGATGATAGTATAGTATGTGCATAATGGAAAATTTATCTTACCAAAAAAAAAAAAAAAAAAGATGAGCCCAAAGTTCTTTCTGTCTACTAAACTAGCTCTTGGGAAATAGCTTCAAAATACACTGTAGCTCCCTCTATCTAACAGAGAACTTCTTGTTGATAGACACTGTAAAATAGTCAAACAGTTTTGCTGTGGTGAATAATCACATTTGTACGTAAAAGAAGTGAGAGCCAAAAGTAAGTAGTTCCTTATCATGTCACTTGTTTGAAAAGTGCTTAAAGTTTTCTTAAATGTTTGCATTGGGAAAGGACAGCTATGATAATGTCCAAATACTCTGAAATGCACTGGACCATGTAACTGTGATGGAATATGAAATTCATGTGTAAATTTTTATACCAAGCAGTTTAAAAAAAAAAAAAAGACATTTGATTAAATTATGAACAAGTTTTACAAATTCCTTGAAGTTTTCTAAGATCACATAACTAGCAGCTTTCTTACTCTGTGAAAAAGATGCTTTGATATTTTATTTACACTTGTAGGATTGTTACATTAACCAGAAAAATAGTGGAAAAACCCCTGAGAAAAGACACTAAAGTTTGTGTCAACTGAGGAAGTCTGTTTGGTTTGCATTTTGTTTTTGTGCATTTTAACGCTGTGAGTGGGGGCATGACTTGACAGTTTGTGCTAAAATATAACAACAAGCCAGGTGTAGCCACACTTTTTTTTTTCATAGTCCTACCAAATGAAAACAACAAACTGTTTTAAGCATTTAATTCCCCCACTCATAAATCTGAAAGTGACAATTAAAATCTCAACTGTAACCAGCTTAGCTTTTTCCTTACTTGAAAATAAATATTCTAATTACCTTTAACTATTTTTTTAGTCAATTGTCAGTGGGTTTTAGATATTTCCTAATTGTAAACATGTCAATGACATATCTCTGTCCATTATTCATTTGTGGCAAGACATTCTTTTTTGATAGTGTAAAAAAAAAATAATAATAGAGCAAGCTAGGTCTTTCATGTTTGAAAGGCAACTTCTGAGTAACATTACCACTAACCAGTCTGTAAGAAATTTTTTTTTCTATTTTACTTGTTATGTATAATTAAACTTCCTTTTCATTACACTAAAGTGCATTATTTTCTTGAGCAAATGTCCCTTCTTTCTGGGGAGGCCTAACCTATTGAAATGCCAATATTTTTGCTCATAGTTATATCATGGTTGTTTAAGATAACATAAAATTTCAATTTTTATGTATTTTCATAATAATTAATGATTTACTGAGGATTTATAAAGCCCTTCTCACTGTCATGTGAAAAGTCAAACTAGTAAATGTAAATTACAGCCTTCTGTGGTTAGGAGTTAGAGGTTTTGTTTTGAGGGCAAAGGGGACTTCAGTAGCGTTAGAATTTGTGAAGATATTTTGTTTCATGAGAAATTTGGGCTCTGGAAGTGACAGGAAAATGTCCCTTTCAACCTTATTTGACATTAATGCTGGCTGTGCTATGAGTCATTCCTTCAAGGCAACTGGTAGCAATTTGTAAACATTGTGATTTACCTGAGGTTTTTTTGTCAACAAAGTAGTGTGTGCATACCACCACCCCCATACATTGCTTCTGATGTCATTGTTTTTTGACACTCTGTCAAACATTGGATGTAAGGTGTTAGCTACTTTTGATAACATTAAAATATGTTCAGATTGAACTTAAAGTTTAAAGAGCCTAGTAAAATTATATAATAGTTTTTGAAGTTTCTAAGTAAACTCAAGATCTTCTTAAAAATTACATGATCTTTTTATTCCTAATAGAAATGTTAACTGGAATATAGCATAAAAGTTTATTTCCTTCACTTATGTACTATTCCTATAGTGCTTTTAGATGTTCACAAGCTAATCAATCCGTCAGAGAAGATTAGATGTGACCTTTTGAAGTACTTAGGTACATCTAATTAAATGGATTAGGGTAAAATTTAAAGAAGAAAAAAATCTGAAATTTAAAATATGATTTTTAAGTGTAGGTTAGGGATCCAAGGTCTAAAAGAGTATGGCTTCGGAGTACTAGATCTAGCAATCTTGGACTCTTCATTCCCATTCCAGAATTCATCTCCCCCTACTTTTTAGGTATTAGGAAATAATGTATCTACATGATTGCTTTAGGAGTAGAAAAACAGATTGTGAACATGTATACTTTTGTAGTTCATAGTAATCCTCAATTACAATTAATGTCTTAACAACCTGTGTTGCTATATATAACATAACCCTATAGAAAAAATTTTAAAACTTTACCTCATTATGAATAAAATTTACTCAAGTGATAAAGAAGTTTTATTTTCTGAATTACTTTTAGGATTATTGCTACATTAATATTTAGGGAAATGTTGCTTTAAAAACAATTCTAAGAAAAACTTTTTCTTAGAAAATATGTAAATATTTTCAGGATATAGTTATAATTAGTGAAACAAAACTAATGTTATACTCATACCCTTCCTTATTAGTTGAAATTTCTTGAAAATGCCATTTATTAACACTGTTACATATTATTTAGTTTAGTTACTGTTTAATGGGAACATGAGTGAGGAAGATGCTAGTGAATGGAATTTAGTGTTACCCCTCTGGAACCTCTTGCTTTATCTTACTATGTGACTGTAGACAACCAGTTTAACCTTCAGTTTTGTTATCTTTGAAATGTGACCTATCTTGATGCTGAGATCTTAGAAGAATCAATGATTTAATATCTGTATAAAAGTTTAAATTAGGAGGAGGGCTTGCAATATAAATTAGAACTTTTTTAAATTAAAAACATTCTTGGGCGCCTGGGTGGCTCAGTTGGTTAAGCGACTGCCTTCGGCTGAGGTCATGATCCCGGAGTCCCGGGATCGAGTCCCGCATCGGGCTCCCTGCTCAGCGAGGAGCCTGCTTCTCCCTCTGACCCTCCCCTACTCATGTACTCTCTCTCTCTCATTCTCGCTCTCTCAAATAAATAAATAAATCTTTAAAAAATAAATAAATAAATAAATAAAATAAAAACATTCTTAATAGGAGATACATGTTTCAAATGATAAAATGTTTTCAAAAAACCATTCAATAGGCTCAGTAATTTGTTAAAACATTCCTGTTCTGAGTGGGAAAATGTGGAAGATAAATGTTCACAGTGAAGGTGAGTATTATTGACTAAGAAGTCACTATTGTCTGATCAAGAGAAAGTAACATATTCCAAGTCTTAAGATCCACTTGGATAGACCTAGAAAAACTTATACTCTAAATGAAGAAACACTATTAATAAACATTTGATTAACCTTTTAAAATAACAGATACATCTACAAATGATAGTATAACATTTTATCAGGATTTTGCCCTCATTTTCAGAGATTTTGCAAAAATAATATAAAATTTTGGAAATTTAAAGCAAAATTCCTAAGTAAATTGGAGGATCTGACAGTTAAGTGAAAAACATTTCAAAAGCACATCTAAACAATAAGTGAAAGGAAATCATTGTGATCACTTACTGGACTTAGCCTAATTTAACCTAAAGGTTACATACCCACAAATAAAACTTTCTTGAAAAGTGGTGCCCTTAGAGTAAGTTATCAAAATTGAAAAATTCTAGTCTTCTATGCCACAAGTTTGGGGTGATTTGTTAAGGCAAGGTCCCCTTTAGAGAGATGCTCCATAGCCTCAATATAAACATGCACAAGAAAGAATTAGAAAAAAAGGTATGAATTTAGTTATATTTACTGTACAGATTTTATTTAGCATTTCCCTATTATCTGCTTCCTAATCTTATTTGTTGGAAGATTATATGTTTTTTTTTTCCTTAAAATTACTTTATTCTGACATTTTTGTCTTCTGTTTCTAGTCCTGCTCTTACCTCAGTAATAAAATGAATGACAGGAAAATCACCCATATTTAGGGTTGGGATGAATTTCTTTGCAGATTTCCATTTGTTCCATACAGATTTAAGATCATATTTTTTCAAACTAATAATGGGCAGGTCTCTTGGAACAATAATTGGATTAATATATTTTCTTCCCAAATCAAATTACATTGTATACTTTTTACGTTAGATGGTTGCAAAAATTTTGTGGCCCTTAAGTAAGATTATTCAGCCTTTGTTTGCAATTCTAGATCTACTTTGCTCTTAGAAAAAGCACTCTTAGAAAAATAATTAACTGAATACTCAGAAAATAGCACATCATGCTCATATTTCCATATAAAAACCACTTTCAAATCTTTCATCTACTAAGTACTTCACTGAGCTTATATATACATCGTTTGTGGTGTACAGGATCTTGTAAATAACTTGTATTCACATTTAACATTTTTTTAATTGATAAGTTTTTTATTTGCTTTTAAAAAATTATGAAGTTAATTTTAAAATTCTATGGCAATATTTTTTCATGTAGTTAAGCATACTGTTTGAATGAAATTATAATAAATAACACATTTTCCTAAACCATGAAAGTATCAAATTATATTAGAAATTGGTAGAGACAAAGTAGAGGAGTTGCATTGCAAATTCTATTACTGAAATTAAGGTGATTATTTTCAATGATTATGAATTTTATAAATACAATGAAAATATACAAAAGCTGTTTCTGAGCCTAAAGAGATTTTTCCCTTTGCTTTTTTTTAATTTAGCACGACCATGTGTCATATTAATTTTATGAACATAAGTCATACTGAATTTTAAAATATATTTGGATTTCTGTACTTTTAGAAGTTATCAGAAAACTGAACAAAAGAAACAGTAAGCTACATTTTCACTTAATGAACACTTGGATTGTTGAGGGTAGTAAATGAGGTAAAGCCTTGCTATTTTATATATCATTACCACATACAATCGATAGAGTATTGAAACTTTCATTTAAATACTTACTAGGCTTTATTTGCAGTGTAAACTTTAGAATCCATATACAGCCAAATTAAGTTTAAAATATTATACAACTAATGAATAGTAATCAAGAAATGTTTTTGTTGCACTATTATTTTAAATATGGACTATATATAATGTGGTTTGGTGTGAGTAGACAACATTTCTGTAATGCATTTGAGTTATATTTTCTTCCTTTATGTCAGCTTCTGATAATGAAGTTCTCGAAAGGGATGAGATTATATGAAATCATCTTTTTAAAAAAGTTGGTTAGGGGAGAGGTGTTATAATCCAGTTCTAAAAAACTGTTCATTTGTTTTATATAAAGGCTTTGATTTCCATAATTGACCACTTACTGAATATTTAAATTACATAGAATAATGCCTGCATAGAATAAAATGTAAGTATGCAAGAGCCTTAAAGTGAAAAAAATGAATTTTCTGACTGCCTTAAAATATGACTAACTCTCCAACAGGCATACTAGTTATTTTCCATAGGGTCTGTTCATTAAGTAATGCCTTAATAGTGTTAGTGTTTCTGAAGTACAGAACTCAAAGGGTCTTTTAGAGCTTTCATTTTTACATAATGGAGATTTAACTGTTAAGTTTTAAAACCTGATAGTACATTAGTAGTTTAAGCACCTATTAACAGGATAATCTGGGTACACTGATAACATTCTACATACATGACTGTTAACATCAGTAATATTTTGTGGTAGTTTAAGGTTTTTTTATTATTTGGTATAACAAATTATCCAAGAAGCTGGACTTTGTGTAATATAATCTCCAAGGACCAAGCTGCATATTTAAACACTATGAATGAAAAACACAGTTGTACAGTTTCAAAAATGATTACTTTTTTTGAGGGAATTTTTCAAGACAAAAGGCAAATACTTTGTTTCAAACCTATAAGCAAATTCATTCAAAGAAGTGAATATAGTTGTAAAACATTGTGATTGTTGCAATAAAAAGTAACCAGGCCAGTCATTTGTTTAATTACATTCACATTGCCTTTCAAAGCAGGAATATTTTATAAAACTGAAAGGAAACTTTAAATTGTCAAGCTGGTGCTTAAGGATACAAAGTTTTATTTATACAAGTTTCACTTCAAAGGAAGGGACCCTGAAAGGGGGGGGGGGGGGCGGTTCTTAGGTCTGTTCATAAACTTACTGATGCTTTGTTGAGTCTTCCATGTTTTCACTGTAAATAATATACCTAATAATGTAATTTTGATGTTTTCTGGTAGAAAATGGATGAAATACTAATGAATTAAGTTTATTTCATGATAAAAGTTTTCACCGATACTGTGAAATCTTGACTTTCTCTCCTTTTCTAGCCTCGCAAAATACCATACTGAATACATCACTGTAGACATGGGGTGCAGATGCACATTATGGGAACTGCTTCTGGTCAATTATATTATTGTAGTAATTGATAGATACACCAAATAAACTCTATGCACATCAAATAATGGTCTTCGTTTCTTTAAAGAAATAAGAATTTTAAGGTTATAATATGCCTTATAAAATCTAAGGCTCTTAGTAATCTAATATTTCAATAAGATGAAATCAGTTTGATAATTAACATTAGCCTTATAATGCCTTCTAATTATATATATTTAAAATACATGTGGGGCACCTGGGTGGTTCAGTCGTTAAGCATCTGCCTTCGGCTCAGGTCATGGTCCCAGGGTCCTGGGATCGAGCCCTGCATCGGGCCCCCTGCTCAGCGGGAAGCCTGCTTCTCCCTCTCCCATTCCCCCTGCTTGTGTTCCCTCTCTCGCTGTGTCTTTCTCTGTCAAATAAATAAAATCTTTAAAAAAAAAAAAATACATATGGTTGAGGAATCTTCCCCAGTGGATTTCTGGATTTAACCAAAATGCACATTCTCAAAGAGTTTTATAACAGGATCCTTTTGTGAAGAAATTACTCAAAAGTTACCTTTGGGAAGTGATGTTAACACCAAAAATCAATTATGTAAACAAAAAGCTTTAGTGCCAATGCAGACATTTCTCTTTTCTCTCTGAATTTCCATAAAACTTATGAAAACTTCTAAGATCTGAGCATATAGGTTATACAAAAGAGTAAACGCAAGTTACATCAGAATACACCTACCAAAACTTTGAACATCTGGTTGATTTTACAGTTCTCTATTTAAAGATGACAGCAGTTGTATAGAGAAAGTAAGATCATAAATTATGCATTTCTTCATGGATGAAGAAAACTAGACTTAAAAAATGTTTAACAATAGGGGGTGCCTGGGTGGCTCAGTTGGTTAAGCGGCCCACTCTTGATTTCCGCTCAGGTCATGATCTCAGGGTCCTCGGATGGAGCCCCACGCTGGCCTCCCTGCTCAATAGGGAGTCTGCTTCAGGATTCTCTCTCCTGCCCCTCCCTCCGCTTACTCTGTCTCTCAAATTTTTTTAAAAAGTTTAAAAAAAATTTAACTATTAAATCTTACCAAGAAGATGTGACTTTAAAACTATTCAAATAGTATTTTTAATAATATTAGTAAACAATCCAGAATCATTTAGACAAAAGACCAATTTTTTTCTCAACAGCTTTTTAGCTTCCCTATTAGATATTTTGGCAATTCAAGGATAAAATGATTAGTGATAAAATGAGAAACGATCCATTTTTTAATATTAGTAGGCTACAGTAAACAGCTTATCTTCCAAATCTCAACATTAAAAATTAAATAGACTGAAAAAAGTAACTACCTTTTCTTAAACATCACCATTCTCGTCTTTCTAGCCTTTGGTTCTAGAAAAACAGCTGCTGAGACAACTTATACCTAGTTTTGCCTTAGATCTGTATTATACTTTTTTTTTTTTTTTTAAGATTTTATGTATTTATTTGACAGAGACACAGCGAGAGAGGGAACACAAGCAGGGGGAGTGGGAGAGGGAGAAGCAGGCCTCCCACGGAGCAGGGAGCCTGACGTGGGGCTCGATCCCAGGATCCTGGGATCATGACCTGAGCGGAAGGCAGACACTTAACGACTGAGCCACCCAGGCGCCCCAGATCTGTATTATACTTTTATCAAGCTGTAAGATACAGTGTTCCGGAGTAAATGTCTCCCCAAAGTTTGTATGTTAAACCCTGATTTCTAGTGTGATGGTATTTGATGATGGGGCCCTTAGGAAGGTAATTAGGTCATGAGGGTGGAGCCCCCGTGATGGTTTAGTGCCTTTGTAAGAAGAGACAAGAGAGCTTGCTTTCTCTCTCTGCTGCCACGTGGAGACACAGAAGATGGCCAACTGCAAACCAGGAAGCGGGCCCACACCAAAAACCAAATTAGCAGGCACCCTGATCTTGGCCTTCCCAGCCTCCAAAAATTTGAGAAATAGATATTTCTTGTCTCAACCATCCAGTCTATGGTAATTTGCTGTAACAGCCCAAGCTAAGACATGGGAAGAGAGAAGAAATGGAAATCTACCCCCCCTAAAATCTTAACTAGGACGCTGGAAAATGCTGATGGGTCCACAAGAAGACCATACATACTTCTGAGTCATTGTGATTATAACAGCCATTACATATTGAAAAGTCTACTGTCTATACTAAGCACCATGCGGTTTGATTTACATTATTTCCATTTCCCAAAATAAATGCTAAGGAAGATGGTATCCGTATTTTATAAAAAGGAATTTATCGTTCAAGAGATTCACCTACCTACTGGTCACACCCAGTTAAGTGTGATTTGTGTTTTGAACACTTTTCTGTCTTGATAGGTATTAATCACTGTTTAAGTACTAGGGATGATTTTCTTTCACTGAGGATTTAGTGGTTTGTTTAGTCCCTATCCAAATCCCTCCCCCTTTAACCCTAGGCTTTGTAACTAGCTCCTTTTAGTTAAAACTAAGTAAGTATTGGTTATCTGGGATGGGCATGTCAGGGCAGCTGGTCAGTCCTACAAGACTGCCCCTCAAACCCTGCTTCAGGCACCAATCTGGAATCCAGGTTGTCACCTGTTATTCTGACTGATCAGCTATAGATTAAGGGTTCCAAGGACCCTGCAATGACTGATTCGCTAGAATGGCTCACAGAACTCAGAGAAACATTTTACTTACTAGATTACAAGTTCATTATAAAAGGACATAGGAGGAACATCCAGATGGAAGAGATAACATAGCAAGCATCTAAAATTTCTCATTGGCACAATGCAAAATAAAGGACTAAAGGACATGCCATTCTGTTCCATTCCAGTGTTCTAATTTACCACAAGAGAATGAAATAATTCAAATTCTTGCTTTGCCAAGGTCTCCTAATGGCAGTTTAATAAATTCATGTATGAAGCATCATTGATGGCATATGGCCAAAAAAGCCACCAGCTGTCTCCTGCAGAACTGTCCCCAATTCCTTGGTCCATCTTGACCAGAAAGCAGAAGCAATTCACTTAAAATGCACTGTCCTCCCACCTTTGAGGAAGTTTTCTGTAACTAGCATCTGTGACTCTGTGGGATCAGCTAGGAAAATGCTTCCTAGGAAGTGCACTTAAAAAATTCTTGTTGATAAGAAGTTTGAGATAGGGATGTGATTAATCAAGTATCCAAAATATTTTTAATTATTCTATTTTTTTTAAGATTTTATTTATTTATTTGACAGAGAGTGAGACAGCACAAGCAGGGGGAGCAGCAGAGGACGAGGGAGAAGCAGGCCCCCCACTGAGCAGGGAGCCCAATGCAGGACTCGATCCCAGGACCCCGGGATCATGACCTGAGCTGAAGGCAGACGCTTAACCAACTGAGACACCCAGGCACCCCTATTTTTAATTACTCTAAAATAAGACTTCCTATAGACTAAATCTTGTTTGCTAAGTTTATCTGAGATAAAATCAGTTTGAATCAGTCAAAGAATTGAAGAATATCTACATCAGAAATTACTTTAAGGACAGTCTAACCTCCCACCCAATACTTGGATCTCTTATGGAATGTTTCCAACAGCCTTTCGACACATTTTGGAAAGCAGAACTTTCCACCTCACAATAAAATTCAAGTACATTTCTGAACTATTTCAAAAGTTCATCTTCATACAATGCTGAAATCTTCTCCTTTTAATTTCTGCCCCTTACGTACAGTTCCATTCTCTGGAACTACTAAGACATTAAAGGAGTAATTTGGTTTCTCTGAAATAAATTTCATTCCATCCTACAAATTTAATATACTTCTCTTACTCTAGAAGTACAAAGTGTGAAGATTTGTCACAATACAGTACAAGGATATCCCTACTGAGTTGACAGCTACATATGGGAGAACCTTCCATTTTAAAGAGAAATCACAAATCAGTCCTCACCACTGAAAGCCATAAAAAGTAAGGAGTCAACTCCTTCTGAATATTACACAGAATAAATAATCCCAAGTGCTTACCTTCTAGCTCTTGGCTGTGAAATTCATATATGAATTATTAATAAAACATTCTTTCCTTATCTTTTGATACAATTTCACTCCTGTAGTTTTAAATATCATCTCCTTTGGTCAAGAATTGGCAAGTAGGAAGAAGAGATTTCCACAGCAATTTATTATTAGTTTTACAACTTTTTCAGGAAGATAATTTACATATTTAAAACATCCTCAAACATTTAAAAGGCATTATCAGGCATTATCACTTTAAATCACTGACATTTTACTAGCAAGGTTATGAGCACCTACATAACTAAAATTCTTTCCTCTTACTTTTTTTTAAGTAACACTGATGAACTAGTGGAAGCAATTTCCCTTCTTTGTGAAGCCTATGAGTGTCAGTTGCACCTCCAATAAAAGTTCCATTGATAAATATTCTTGGTACCTGTTGGATAAACAAAAGATTAGCTGTCACTCTATTGTCAGAAGTATTAAGACCTTTCACATAATAGTCATAGATGCTCATACTCTGGGTACTTTTATGGGCCAGGCACCAGACTAAGCTCTTCCACAAAGTACTTAAATCTTTACAACCCTTGAGGTAGGTACTAATTTTAGCCTTATTTTGGAGGGAAATGAGGCACAGGGACTTGTCCAAAATCACAATGATAGCAAATGACAGAGGTAGGATTTAAATCCAGGGCAATCTGACACTCAAGCCTTTCCTTCTAATTGCTATGGCATATAAAAGGTAAAAGAATACAGTCTGTAATTATTGTTTATAAACATCTTCCATGCACATTAAAACAAGAAGGAAAATGGCAACATTATATATTTTCCCAATAATGCATTTCACTGAAAAAATGCATATGGTTGGACAAATTTCATGAATCTAAAAATATGAAGAACTAAAGCACTCCTATTAGCACAGTAACTGAAGACTGACCCATGGTCTGTACTGTTCAAGTAAAGGGAGGAAGGATTTCACCTTGAGAAGAGCTCCAGGAGGATCTTAAAGATTCACAGACAAGCACTCATGACAACACCATCACCCCACTCTCCTAGTCAAAACACACACACATACACGCACGCACGCACATATGGCAAGAATAAAAATAAAATGAATGAATTCGGCTGTTTCCCAGTCTCTGAATCTTGTTCCCAGATCTGCCATTTCTTTATCCAAAAAGGATTCTCAGAGTCTCTATCTCTCAGGAGACAGAGAGAATGCCTGGCTCACTTTACATAAGCGTCTAGGCTCTAGGTGACCCAGGTACCACCTACTGGAGGAAAAGCACCATAGAGGATACACTTACAGTTTTTTCACCAGTCATTTTGTAGAGAGCATCTTGAAATTGACTTCCATATTCAAGCATGTCCAATTCCACCACTTTATACTTAACATTTATGTCATGGAAAAGTTTTTTTGCCATTGCACAGTAAGAACAAGATGTTTTTGAGAAAATCACCACACAATTATCAGAAATTGTTTCCTGAAGTCAAACAAACAAACAAACAATTTTTTTTAATTCTAGACATTACCTTCTGGAAAGAAACCATTATTATAGTGGAAACGGGATGGATTCTGGAGTCTCATGATTCAGTGTTCAAACTAAGTCTCCATCATCTATTTTCTCATTTGCAGATTAAGAATATTATTACTCATTTAAAAGGGATGTTTTTAGGAAAAAAGGATATAACAGATGCAAAGTTGGCATGAAGTGATAACAATAATCACAGCCAATTCATATACAGCAAACATCTCTGTGTGCCAGATGCAATTCTTAACATCTGACCTTTACTAGCTCATGTAAACCTCACTATAATCCTGAGATAAGTCTTATTATTATCTCTACTCTACAAATGGGGAAAGTGAGGCACATAAGAAGATAAGTGACTTACTCATAGTCCTAATAAGAACTGGAAAGCTGAGATTTGAGCCCAGGCAAGTCTGATTCTACAGTCCAGGCACTTAAACTCTGTTACATTGCCTCTTAAATACTCAGTAGGTGTTTAGGAGTTAACTCCTTACCTTCCTTAACTTTTAATGGTGAGGACTGATACATGATTTGTTTAACATGTATGGCTTCCATTGATCCAGGTATAAACAACAGCTTACCCCCTCAACTTCCACTCCTTCCTATATATCTTTATAGTTTAAAAAACTGTCATTGTCATGACAGTATTGCTAAGGCATTCTTATATTGTTGTTCCTGGAAAAGCTACTACGAAATGCTGATTCAAAGGATTTCAGGCAGGGCACCTGGGTGGCTCAGTCGTTAAGCGTCTGCCTTCGGCTCGGGTCATGGTCTCAGGGTCCTCGGATCGAGCCCTACGTCGGGCTCCCTGCTCAGTGGGAAGCCTGCTTCTCCCTCTCCCATTCCCCCTGCTTGTGTTCCCTCTCTCGCTGTATCTCTGTGTCTCAAATAAACAAATAAAATCTTTAAAAAAAAAGGGGGGGGTTGGTTTCAGGCAGAAGTCAGAAACTGTTTTGTTTTGTTTTTTTAACTTCCCAGATTATTCTAGTATCAACCCGGTTTGGAAACTACTCTCCAGGCCTTTATCACAAAGACTATGAGATTTTGCTATGCATCTGCATTGCTTGTAAAATTTGTTTTCTTTTTTGTTTCTAAATATATGAATGTCCAGGTCCTTCAAGAGATTCTGAATAGATAAGTAGCACCCAAGCATCTAAGTTGTTCTTATGTGGGTCATAAGCAACACCTTCAAGATGAAAGCCAAAAATCAGAAAGTAGAGTACCCAGGCAAAGTAATTCTAAAGTTACATCCATCCTTGGGTGTCAGAAGGGTTTTAAGGCACAGTCTAGCTCTCTGCAAGTTGGTCTGTTTTTATGCTTTCTCTTCTACTCATAATATTCAGTATAGAAGTCTGTCTCGGAGAAAGCCAGCCATACCAGAGATGTATGCATGAATCCATTTTATAGATGAGAAAAATGAGGCTAAGAAGTTCACCACACTAGGATTTAACCCAACCTGTCCCAACACCAAAGCCAGTGCTCTCTCCTCCACCATGCCACCTCAGGTTATAGGCACACTGAGACCATCGTGTAGAGAGAGCTGAGCATCCTGGGTGCTGATATGCAGTAAAAACACTGATGAAGAGATTCCAAAGTGAGTTGAAACTCAAGATGACAGTGCCAGAGTGTCTCGAACAATCCATGTCACCTTCTCTCGAGCTCAACCTTGCTAAATTTTCATCATTTTGTATTCTTGTTTTAAAAAGGAATTCCCTCACAACAGGTTTCTAGCATTGCTGTTACATTCATCAGCTGTGAGTGAATACTTTCTTAGCCAAATAAATTAAAGGCAGAAATGTTATATATGTGGTGGTGGTTGGTGGTGAAGAACAGAGAAAGGAAAACATGAGTATGTCTTGTAGACCGCAAGGGAAGAAAAACATACGAGAGAAGTTTTTCTGAGGCAGAATGAACTGGGTTTTGCAGTGAAAGAGAGGAAAACAGTACCCAGCAGCACATGGGTGTCCCTGAGAGGATCATTTATAGAGTAACTACAGCATACTAAGTTCTGTGTTAGGGGAGAAAGCTGTTAAGCAGCTTCCCAGGCCAAAATCAAACAGTATCCCTGACTAAGAGCAGCTTGACTGGTATCAACAGGATACCTGAGGTAGGTCTGAGGGAAAGGAAGAGCTAAACTCACAGACCCAACTTAGAGGGAGTAAAGACTCCGTTAATAATAAATCTCATAAATTCTCACTGCCAATATGATCTAGAACTTTTCTGTCACATGGATTATTTTGATAGCAGATTTTAAAGTATACATTTAGTAATTCATTTGCTGAACTACGTCAGGCTGGATAATGAGCAAACATATTAAATGTGTAAAACACAGTTCTTTTTCTACAGAAGAAAGGTTTCTCCTATGTCTCCCACATCACTCACTTGAATCTGATTCACAGGAACAGTTGCTGACTTCCCCAAAGATGATGATGTGTTGTTCCCCATCCTAAAAAGAATTTTAAAAGGCAGTGCAGCTTTAAACATTAAAAATAGTCATTAATGATAATATAGCAAATGAGATCCATTTGAAGAAAACCTGATATGCAAATATATATACAAATCTATGAAATAGAAAAAAGTTTTACTTATTATTAGTACAAAAATAACCAAAAGGGACTGTATGCTTCTCTAGCCTCCCAATGTCCTTAATTATTTGGTAAAACTACATTTACTGTGTTTAAAGCCTGGCACACTCTTATTTCCGAACACCAAATTTCAAATAGACTGTCCTAATGACTGACCTTAACCTGACCATTAGTTTAAAAAAAGTTTCCATTTTCGTATTAAAATATGCCAAATCTCCATGAACATGCTGTGACACAGAGAACCTACAAAAATTCAAAGATTTTAAGGAAACTAAGGTATTTCAACCACAACATTCATAGCTCTAAGTTTCCCAATCCGTAAGGTAGGAATAATAGTCACACCCACCTCAAAGGGTTTTATGAAGATTAAATGAATTGATAGAAAGCAAAACAGTGCCTTGATCACAGTAAATGTTCAATAACATGTAACACTATTAGTATCATTTCCTGATTACAGGGACCCTCTAGGTATGTATTATCTAAAACCCAGCTGTTGGGAGCTTGTAAAAGGAGGCATTTATTGTAACAGGAATATATTCACTAAAATATTGACCAGTTTTATATCATCGAATCTCTCTGCCTACCCCTAGAGCTTTTCCCCATCCACTTTATCTTTCTTGATCAGCCAGGTCCTATTGCATTGTCCAAACCGTATACAACATCCTGATGCAAACTAGTTAGAGCAAAATTACAAATCTTAGAAAAGAATCAGAATAATATAGGCTTCAAAAGAGAATTTCTTGAATATCTAAAGATTAAGAGAATATCTTAAGATAAAGAACTGAAGTTTCAAATATTTCCAAAAATAGTCACCTTATGATTATGTTCCAAATTCAAGTATTGATAGAAAAACTTCTCCTTGCAAACACTTCATTCATTCATTTTGAGTGCCTTTAAAATTTAAATGTTGGGGGCACCTAGCTGGCATAGTTGGTAGAGCATGTGACTCTTGATCTCGGGGCTATGAATTTGAGCCCCACATTGGGTGTAGAACTTACTTAAAAAAAAAAAAAATTAAATGGATTTTTTACATTTTATCCTTGGATGATGAGTGGCTGATCTACACAGCCATGCCCACACACTCAGAATAAGGATGCTGTAACAAACATCACCTTCAGTAATTACAAAGAGTTAGAGGCAGGAACTACTCCAAGGGAACATTATAACATTAGAACTCCCCAATGTTTACAATCTATTATTCCTTACTTCCCAATAGTCGGTAAGGAAATCTTTAAAACAAAAAGGGCCTGTGTACTTAGGAAGGGGTTAGGAGTAGTATGCCAGGGAGACTGCAACCAACTTAGGTGGAGGGCAGAGGCTGTGTGTTAAGAAAAAAAGCAGACTGAGTTCCTGGAGCGTAAACAAACAAACAAACAAACAAAAATGTTAATCGGCATGGCCTGGACCCAAGAACTTGTTTTGGTGTAATAAATCAGCAGCCTATTTGGTTTATCAACTAAGAAAACAAGTCCTTTTCATCTCTGGTCCAACATCTAACCATCATCCCCAAACCATCTACCACAATATTTACTACTGAAACAGGAGTTCCAGTAGAACCTTCACCCCAAGTTATCTTGGGCAGTGAGAGGAGGTAGGAGGTGCATCTGAAATATCACCCCCTACCCTCCCAAATAAAAGAAAGTTTCTGGAAAGCACCTTTCTCCTTCAATTCTGGTTGAGCTTGGCAAAAGTTATTACCTAGTAAGGAAAGAGACATCAACAGAGAAGCGCACAAGAAACGTTTCACTTCAACACTGATGTACCCATCAGCCATGCCAGATTTATGGAGCGCCTCCCATATACTAAGCAGGCGAAATGCTCAATGCCCCAGGGATACACATCATTGGAAAAACACGTCAGGGGCTCAAGGACCTGTCAGTCTAATAGGTAACACCACGTGGTCAGCACCTTCCTGAGTGGGTCACCAGCTTAGAACAGAAAGATAATTAACAGTTCCTACAGTCTGGCAGAACTGATCAGAGTTACCAAACCAAGTAGGAAGGAAGAGACTCCAAGCCAGAGGGATGGACGCACAGGGGCAGGCACAGACATTCGAACTGGCAGAACCACCGTGGAGCACAGGCCCGGGCCCGAGGGCGGCACAGCATCAGCCCCGGCAGTGGGTCCTCCGCCGCAGGCCTGGTACTGGAAGCGGGGAAGCACAGGGAAAGCAATCCTCGGTCTAGCCAGAGGCGACATCTACATGAGTAGTCACAGTCCCCATCCTCAAAGACTGGGCCATTTAGTAGGAAGCGTCCCCTTCACTTCCTGCGGTAGGGTTGCCAGGTTTAGTAAATAAAAATGCAGAACGCTCGATTACATTAGAACTTCACATAAAAAGCGAGTAACCGGGGCGCCTGGGTGGCTCAGTCGTTAAGCGTCTGCCTTCGGCTCAGGTCATGGTCCCAGGGTCCTGGGATCGAGCCCCGCATCGGGCTCCCTGCTCGGCAGGGAGTCTGCTTCTCCCTCTCCCACTCCCCCTGCTTGTGTTCCTGCTCTCGCTGTGTCCCTCTCTGTCAAATAAATAAATAAGATCTTTAAAAAAATAAAAAGCGAGTAACCGTTTAGTCTAAGTATAATCCGTGCAATATCTGAGATACACTAAGGCCGAAAACTAATCGCTGTTTATCTGAAATCCCAATTTATTAGGCGGGGCGGGGGGGGGGGGGTCCAAGCCTCCCCAGTACCACGACTCGGGTATTTTCGACGTAAGAGTCACAGGATCCGTGAGCAGGCACAGCCGCTTAGGGCGTCATTCACCGCCCCGCCACCCCTCCTGAGCTCCGCCGCCCTCCGAGGGCCCTCCGCTGACTGGACCCGGGGCCCACCCGGCGCCGGGGAAAGAGGCGCCCGCGCCCACCGCTCCGCCCACAGCCCTGCGAGGCCTCCGCGCCACGCCGACCCCCACCCCCGTGTCCTGCCCGCCGCACCCCGTACCCAGAGGCCGCAGCTCCTGCCGCCCCGCCGAGCCGGCCCGCCGAACTGCCCCCGCTCCGAACCAGCCGCGTCGCCAGCAGCGCCGCGCGGCGCCAAGACACGGTCCGAGCGCCGGGGCTGCGGCGATCGGAGAGGGCGGCGACCGCGGCCGGGAGAGCCCGCCTCCGCACGCCCGGCCCCCAGCCGACCTGGCCCGCCTCTCCGCGCCCCGCCGGGCTGCCCGAGCCGCCGCCGGTCTCCTCGGCGCGGCCGCGCGAGTCCTCCCAAGGCGGGCGGCCCGGCGCCCGGCGGTCCCACGGCGGAGTCGGGGAGAGTGCGGCGCGCGCGCGGTTAAGCTGCGGTCCCGCCGACGCCGACGCCGACGCCGACGCCGACGCCGACGCCGACGCCGACGCCGACGCCGACGCCGACGCCGACGCCGACGCCGACGCCGACGCCTCCCCGGCTGGCTTCGAGGGCTCGGCCCAGCCCTGCACCTGCTTCTTCAGGGGTTAGGGACGCTCCTAAAGGCCCACAGGCCCGTGGAAGCAGCGCGTGGGGACTGTGGCCAACACTCTGGCGAAACGGAGAGGAAAAGATGTCCGAAAGAAAGACTCGAGGTGCCTGGGACGTTTACATGAAGATGGTAGCGCCATCACAACTTCCGGTCAGACAGGTGTTTCTGTCGGTGAAGTAAGAGCCCAACTATGTCATCTTAAAATTAGGCTGCTGATCCAGAAGCCATATAAATCGTGGGGCTGTTAGAGTTTACACCCAGAATTGAAAGAAAAAAGCAGTCCAACGTAGAACATTCATTCCAGGGAAAACAAAATCTGTGTTTATAAATAAAAGTGAAATTAGAAAATAAAACTTGAACTAGCCCAGAGGGTTTTTGCCATGGCTGTGGAAATAGCTGAGTGCTAAGGACAACGCTGTGCCACCCGTAGTAATGATAGCCCTTTGTGCGTCACTATTTGAGGGGGGTAGGTCTTTATTTACTGAGGACGTTGAAATCTATTTGTTAAGGTCGAAGGGCAAATAGGGTATTTTTAAAATTCTAAACAATTATTAGAACAACCCAGGTGAATATGGTCCTTCATATTCAACTACATAAGTTTAAGATTCGTGTTACCAAATCACAAAATTAGAACATCTGTTTCTGACGGGTTTTTTTTTCCTATTTTCAAGTGAGTTGTTTCATTACTTCATAAAAGTTTGAAAGTTAGTTGCAAAAACAAATGCCCTAAAAGGTGTGAAGGCATTCTTCATAAATTCAAAATTAACTTTAAAATTTAAGAGATGTTTTCTGTAGTGTTGCGGGGTTTTGTTTTGTTTTGAGTCAAAGATAGCTGTTTAGGAAATTTACTCTGTTATTTTCGTTTTGAAATAAAATTTTACCTTGTTGTTGTAAAGTTTTACAAATTAAAGGCCATTATGAAGTGAAACAATCATGTCACAATTTAATTTTCATACAGTACAGGGCTATGTTAAGCACAGAATTCACTGGACAGGTTTTTTAAAAGGGATTCCCCAAAGAACGTACTTCAAACAAAAGTGTTATGTCTGAATTAAGCATAATATATTCATAACCTTCAGTTTATTTGGGCTTCATTGGGTAGCTACAGAAGTGCTGATTCTTGGTCATGATTTTGATGTCCATAATAGTACATTAACAAGTATGCCTGCTGGCTGTTCACTCAAGTGTATGGTGTGAACATAATGGGGGGTGGCCAGTATAGGTACATCAAGAATAAACGATTAGATACAGCCTTATGAGTTCTGTACTTTTTTTTTTCATGACTGAACATGATATCAATTAAAAGCATTGACATATCTCGGGGTGCCTGGGTGGCTCAGCCGGTTGGGCGTCTGCCCTTGGCCGGATCATGGTCCCAGGGTCCTGGGATCGAGCCCCGCGTCAGACTCTCTGCTCAGAGGGGAGACTGCTTCTCCCTCTCCCTCTCCCTCTGCCTGCTGATCCCCCTGCTTGTGCTCTCTGTCAAATAAATGCATAAAATCTTTAAAAAAAAATTGACGTATCTTTAGATATTCTTTCAACTTGTTTTTTTATTGCTTAAATTGTCAAGTAAAGCTCATACTTTTTTTTTTTTTTTTAACCTCAAAACAGGTTTATCCCCTGCCCAGGGTTGAAAGCTACTTTTAAAAAACAAAATCCAGCTGAGTAAATTTGAAGCTCTAACTGGCTTTATTCAATGATTCATAAATTGGGCAGCATCTCCAAATAGAAAGGAGCTCTAAGATGCTGTACAAATGGAAGGCTTTAAAAGGCAGAGAGGAGGTGGGACAAGGACATCATAAACAAATGAAAGGATTATTTCAGGCAATGTCACCTATCTTTCGGGAAGAAAGAGGTCTATCAAACAGATTACCTCACTAGTTCTCACCAGGAAATTCCCAACCAACCTATTAAGATTATATTCCTGGGAAAGGCTGAAACGGCAATTAGTTTAGGTATTAAGTCTCGGTTTGGTGACAGGGGCTTATTTAGCACAAGTAACTCCATTTTGGACCTGTTGTTTCTTTTTCTTTTTTTTTTTTTAAACACTTTTAAGATCAGTAAATTATGAAATCTTTTACTTGAAATGGCCCTTATGGGAGGTCCTCTATACTGGGTCCAACCTGTGGACCTTAGCCACATGGGAACCTTCATAAATTCTCCCTCAAAGAAACTTTTCTAAAAAGAGCATGATTGTGAACCCTAAAGGGTTAGCTATTGTATCCTAAGGCTGCTATAACAAATTACCACAGATTTGAAAGAACAGAAATTTATTTTCTCACAGTTCTGGAAACTAGAAATCCAAAATCTGGCAGGGCCGTGTTCCTTCTAGAGGCTACTATAAAGGAGAACTCATTTTCATCCTCTTCTACCTTCTGGTGGCTTCGGGTGATCCTTGGCTTCTTTGAGTTGTGGCCATACCACTTCACTCTCTGCACATATCTTCCCATTGCCTTCTCCTCTGTCTCTGATGATGAGATTTAGTCCACACCTGGATAATCCAGGAGGCTCTCATCTCAAGGTCCGTCACTAAATTGTATCTGCAGAGTCAGTTTTCCAAATAAGGTAACATTCACAAGTTCCAGGGATTTGACCTGTATATTTTGGGGGAAGGACCATTTTTTAGCCTATCACAATGACAGTACTTAGCCTGGAGAAAGCCTAATATTTCATTAGAGTCTTGGGTATGTTAAAAATTCTGTGAATGTTGTGTTATATTCATTTTCTGTTTTTGTTTTACTGTATTACTTCATTCATCCTTTACTATGTCAGTCACTGGTCACGATACAGACAAGGTCCTGCCTATAAGAGATAAAACTCTTATCCAATTTTTTGAACAAGGTATAAAATTCATGGTTCATAAAAACGTGTCATATTTTTGATGGACTCTGAAGGGCAGGCAGGGTTCTAGAGGGGAGGGGGGTGGGAGGACGGGTTAGCCTGGTGGTGGGTATTGAGGAGGGCACGTTCTGCATGGAGCACTGGGTGTTATGCACAAACAATGAATCATGGAACACTTCATTTAAAAAAAAAAAAAAGTGTCATATTTTTACTTTGGCATCACTGTTAAATAGCCCCATCTGAAAAGGTAAAAACAAATTTATGTGTGCCCATGCATTCTTCTGGACTAAACAATGTCTCTCCCTTATGTCTGTTTCCCAAATATACTGCAGCTATAATTAAAATCACATTAGTTTAAAACCATTACTGAAGGGCACCTGGGTGGCTCAGTAGTTGGGCATCCAACTCTTGGTTTCTGTTCAGGTCATGATCTCATGGGTTGTGGTATCCAGCCCCGCATTGGGCTCCACGCTCAGTGGGGAATCTGCCCCTCCCACCTCTCTAAAATAAATCTTTAAAAAATAATTACTGCAATTTATCATAAGCCTTTTATCATTATAGAGTTTCTCATTTTACAAGTACAAAAGTACAAAAATTATAATGTTATGATTTCACAAGAAGGCTTAAGAAGGACTGTTTGCTTTTCCAAACAACAACCAATTTTCCAATGCTCTCGTATCAAGTGGGTGTTCTACAGTTCAATTCCATTCTAACACAGACAACCTGGAGTTAGTACAGACCCCACAGGTTAAGGGCTCAGTCCTACAAGACTGCCTCGACTTCGACACCCGCCACAAACGGCGTGTCCAGACCCCATTTCTGCACTTCTGCCTGGCCAAGTACAACTTGGGGTGTTATCATGACCCACCCTCAGGTTCAGTAATTTGCTAGATAAACTCATTAAACTTGGGAAAATACTATCCTTAACAATTACAGCTTTATTATGAAGGATACAACTCAGGAACAGGCAAATGGAAGAGATGCATAGGGCAAGGTTAGACAAGGTTAGGTGCAGAACTTCCACACTCTCTGCAGGTACACCACCCTCCCGGCAAATCAATGTTTTTACCAACTCAGAAGCTCCCCCCAAACCTTGTCGTTCAGGAGTTTCTATCAAAGTGTCATTGCTAGGCATGACTGATTAAATCATTTGCCCTTGGTGCTTGAACTCAATCACCAGTGCCTTCCCCTCCCCTGAGGAGTGAAGGATAGGGGATAGGAGGAGAACCGAAAGTTCCTTAAGCATAGCCAGCCCCTCTCTTGAAACTAAGGGACATCAAGAATCACTTCAGTACCATAAACACAGGTACAGGGAAAGAGACTTGCTATGAATAACAACGCTCTTCAATCCCTAAGGAAATACCAAAGGTTTTAGGAGCCAGGGACCAAAAAACCAAGTATAGTCGTGCCTGGCTAGCTCAGATCTTGGAGCGTGCAGCTCTTGAACTGGGGTTTGTGAGTTCAAGCTCCACAATGGGTGTAGAGATTACTTAAAAATTAAATCTTAAAAAAAAAAAACCTTAAAAATTAAAAAAAAATTAAAAACCCAAATATATATTTTTTATTAAATCACAAGGACCTATCTTGTTTTTGTTTTTTTTTTTTAAAGATTTTATTTATTTGACCGAGAAAGAGCACATGAGAAGGGGGGAGGGTCAGAGGGAGAAGCAGGCTTCCTGCCGAGCAGGGAGCCCGGTGCGGGACTCGATCCAGGGACTCCAGGATCATGACCTGAGCCAAAGGCAGTTGCTTAACCAACTGAGCCACCCAGGCGCTCTAAATCACAAGGACCTATCTTGTC